ACACTGGACTGTGGTTATCCAGCAACGGCATCAAACAGCAGTAGTGCTGTTTTAAACACAGAACACAGAAGCTTGAAGATCAACAACTGTTTCATGATGTCTACACACTCTGAAACCATTGACTACCCCCCAGCTATCAAAAGCAAAACTGCAAGAGGAAAATGTAAACAAACAATACTCAGAGAAAGACCAGGAATCCTGTTCCTGGACCACTATGGAAGATCCTGCAATTTAATCTTCTGGACGGATGAACCATGTGCTTGGCTGAATGTGTTCAGCTCTCATTACCCAGCAATAAAGAGAGCAGGCATTTGTAATGGATGGAAAATAAGTGTACTGGAAGAAAATGACTCTGACACCAGCAGAATAACAGTAAACCTGTTCAAAAATGGAACTGCCATGATACAAGGCGACCTGAGACCGTTTGAGCTCGACTTTCCTGCTATGAGACTGAGAGCTGAGAAGGAGGTCCTCGCAAGCATCGCTCCAACCCTGGGAGTCAAACCGTCCTGTTCTGTCCCTGCTCCAGACAGACAGCCTGCTGATGCTGACACTGATCCTCTCCTGCTACAGCACTCTGAGGCCCTGGACATCATGAGAGAGCACTTCTCCCTGATGGAAATAGAACTGGTACAGATCAGAGAACAGCTGGACCAACAGCAGCCTTCCTCTCCTACTGTCAGTGACTTCCAGGCCAAGAAAGAACAGGACAGTGTCAACTCACAGCCGAGTTTCAACAAGAACTAACTTGTCAGAGAAGACAGCTGGATCATCTCAGTGAGAAGGTGAAGGAACTTAGGCAGGACAGGGACAACTGCAAAACTGAGTTGGCTACTCTGAGAGAAGAGCAGGGACAGGCTCAGTCTACAAGCCAGACTGAACTCCACACAACCCCCTGGTGCCTGCCTCGCAGATCCAGACCACATCCAGCCAAACTCCCACTACACCTGCTGAAAGACAACACAGCCCTTTCCTCGAGGACCCCCCCCCCTCTCACACAGCCTCACGCACTCTAATCCCCCCCCCCCGTACCAACCAGCTGCCTCCATACAAACATCCCAAGCCGAGACGCCAGTCACAACCCTGCACCTGTCCAAGGGCCGGCCTCCAGCCAGCCTCCAGCTAGGAGCTCCAGACCTGAAACCACCACCACAGCTCCACATCCAGACCCGACAGCTGATAATGAACAAACACACACAGACAGAAGGGCTGACATTATCCTCCTCATGGACTCTAATGGAAAGTTCCTGGATGAAAAGACCTTATTCCCAAGGCACAGAACGGAGAAGATCTGGTGCTGTTAACAGTGCCTGAGCTAGGCTCACCTAGCCACATCATCATCCATACAGGCACCAATGACTTCAGGTCCCAGCAGGACAGACTGGCAGACTCTCTGAGGAGAGTCACTGAGCAAGCCTCCACCAATTTCCCTACCAGCAATATCCATGCTGCTGCACAGGAGAGACTTCCAACCCCACACCATTCAGAGTGAATATCAGCCATTTCATTTATTTATTCTATTTTTAATATATATATATATTTTACACACACACACACACACAGACACACTGTTTTTTAATATTTTTTTAACACACACACACTAACTGTTTTATATTTTATTTTAATATATTTTTATTTTTTTTACACACACACACGCTAACTGTTTTATTTATTTATTTTAATTTTTAATATACTTTTTATTTTTTTAACACAAACACACATGCGCTTAGATTACTTTAGGCTTTAATTACTTGTTTAATGAAACGTATGGGGTTGATTGATGTAGTTTGTATGATGCTTTGGCAATATTGTTGTTACACATTGCAGTGAAGTCGCAGACATCAGCCCAAGGATCGGTACGTCATGTCATCGTGACACGCAAGTGCTTCTGCAGGCTACACATACAGGGCCGTGTGTGGCGTTGGCGTCATTTAGAATTAGAATCAGAATTAGAATCAGCTTTATTACCAGGTAGGCATATGTGTACACATACGAGGAATTTGACTCAGGATTGTACAATGCTCACGATGTGCTTACTTACATACAATAATACAATAATAAACTCAGGCTACAGTATTGAGAACACATATACAGACACACTATAAACAAACAATATTGACAGATTGAGACAATAGTGCAATGAGCAGAGTGCAAAGGATGCAGGAGTAAATTATTATTATTATTATTATTATTATCATCATTATTATTATTATTGTACATGTCGGAGGTGGATGAGATATACAGGTACACATACACATACACGCATACATGTGATGGCAATTTGAGTTTTCAAAAAACAGCTTAGGCAAACACTTGTCTTCTACAGAAGGAACTCAGTGGGACATACACACAGTGTCTCAGCACATGCAGTTTTTATCCTAATCTCAGGGTCAGCACTATCTTACCACTGGAACATGTTGTCTTTAGGAGGTCCACTGGAGGACAGTCAATCCAGATCTATCGTAAAGACAATCATGCCCTAGTACAGCCAGGTACATGATGTAAAACAATGAAAGACATAACCCCCTGGACACATCACATACATTTACCCAGTACCCGATAAACCAGAGGCCCTCAGTGAGTAACATTAATTAGATGACTGTGTTTGGAGATGGTACTCATGGAATTCCCATTACATTTACTCCCTTTTAGCATGAGACTACAAACATTTCATGTAATTTCAGCAGTACTTGCAGAATGATTGATTATGTAAAAATATAAGAATATAAGAAATAAACAATATAGGAATAAACAATGTATTTATTTGTAATTAAACAATGTGGATTATCATATTTATCAATTCAAAATGCAAGTAAAATAAACTCAGACATGTACACAGTGCGATTGAGCATAGTGCAAAGGATGCTGGAATAAATATATTTGTGTTGGTATTATCTGCTTGAGGTAGGTGGATTTGGTACACATACAATATACCAGTGGTCAGCAATAGGTGGCCCGCGCAGCCAGATTGCTTTGAGTCCGGGTACTGGAATGGATGTTCCCCAGCCTCAAGTTTGTGATCCACTGACAGGTGGAGGCTGGCACAGTGAGCTGGGTGAGTTTGGTGCTGAGGATTTCCAGGATGATGGTGTTGAATGCCGAGCTGAAGTCCACGAACAGGATCCTTGCATATGTCCCTGGAGAGTCGAGGTGTTGCAGGATGTAATGCAGTCCAAAGTTGACTGCATCATCCACTGACCTGTTAGCCCTGTAGGCAAACTGCAGGGGGTCCAGCAAGGGGCCTGTAATGTCCTTCAGGTGGGCTAACACCAATCTTTCAAAGGACTTCATGACTACAGATGTCAGGGCGACAGGCCTGTAGTGATTTAGATGGAGGGTTTTTTGGGGACCGGGATGATTGTGGAGTGTTTGAAGCAGGAGGGAACTTCACACAGCTCCAGTGATCTGTTGAAGATCTGTGTGAAGATTGGGGCCAGCTGCTGTGCGCAGATTTTCAGGCAGGATGGTGACAGGATGGTGTCTGGGCCAGGAGCCTTCCTGATTTTCTGCCTCTGGAGGAGCTGGTGCACATCCTCTTCACAGATCATGAATCCCGGTGAGGGGTTGGTGAGCGGGGGTGACAGCGGGGGAAGGTAATTGTTTGAAGTTGGAGTTGGAGTGGGGGAGAGGTGTGACTATGGGCTTCTCAAACCTACAACAGAAACCATTCAGCTTGTCAGCCAGTCGTTGAGTATCAGCAGAGTTGGGGGATGGTCTCCTGTAGTTAGTAAGTGTCCACAGGCCTCTCCACACTGACGCAGGGTTGCTGGCTGTGAAGCTGTTTTCTAGCTTTTCAGCGTGGCATCTCTTTGCTGCTTTGATCTCTTTAGTCAGTGTGTTCCTGACCTGGTTAGACAGAACTCTGTTTCCACTTCTGAAGGCCGCCTCTTTGGTCTGACGAAGGTGCCTGAGTTTTGCTGTGAACCAGGGTTTTTGGATGTTGTATGTGTGGAAGGTTTTAGTCGGCACACACGTCCTCACAAAAACTGATGTAGGATGTCAGTTAGTTCGTCCAGGTCAGTGGCAGCAGCCCCAGAAACACTCCAGTCAGTACAGTCAATGCAGGCCTGTAAATCCAGCTTTGACTTGTTGGTCCATCTTTTCACCATCTTTACAACAGGTTTAGCAGATTTCAATGGATGAGCCAGACAGTGATCAGAGAGTCCCAAGGCTGCATCCTTCAAATGTAAATGAAAAATGTAGCGCGTCTGGACGCTACTGCGCTAATCAGTCACTAAAACAGCTTCGCTACTGAAAAGCTATTTGATTTAGAAAACAGCGACCACCACCGCGCTCCAGAAATGTAATTAAACTAGTAACGGCGCTACTTTTAGCGACGCTACTGCCCAACACTGAGTGGTCTCACTAAGAGAGAAGTCACTGGTTCACAATTTTGAATTTTCTTTTAATTATTTTTTTGTCATGTAGCCTACCCCCTAAGATAGCCAAACAAATAAAATTAAATTTGACTTGTGCATGTTGCAAAAATGTAAGTTAGTTAAACTACACACAAAACACAATGATTCTTACGCTATATAAATTGTGAAGCCAAGTGCAGAAGACTTGACATTGATGATGATGATGATGATGATGATCAGTTTTTATTTTCTTCTCTGTTAAAAATCTGTCCATCTTGTACATATTAACAACATTAATGATGGCTTCATGACAGCAATTTTCGTCTTTGACAAGTCTAAATGCTGTGAAATGTTTTTACCCCCTTGCCTGCCCCCAGGTTAAGAAGTAAGCCTCAAAGTGAACCAGAATGGACAATACCAGGCTCCTGGAACAGATAAACCTACAGCCAAAATCTATGTTATTAGTTATAGCTGCTGTTATATTGTTTTCCTGAGATAATGGTCTATTATTTTATGATTACCTGCAACTGTAACAAAATGTTTTTTTTGTTTTTATTGTGTTATACTATTATATGAGGGTCGCTGCAGAATGTTTATTATACAGATTGCAGTCAAAAAAGAGGGACAGGTGGTAAGTTTTGGAACAAATCTTTAGAATTTTATTCCACATACTGCACTTCAGGTGTCTGCATTTGAATCACATCTATCACAAACAAAAAATGCCCCAGGGTACAAATAAATACACTTTTCAGTGAACAGAGATATGTGGAATGTTTTTATACGTGGACTTTTGTGTTCATTTGTAGAATCCATATTTGTATACAGTATATATATATTTTTTCTTTTTTGTCAAAGTAAGTTACAAACAATACCAGCAAATGAAGATTTTTCTTTCAAATAAAGTGCATTTCTACTACTCTCTCTGTCAATCACAAAAAGAAAAAAGATGTTCTCAAACATGTAACACTAGTTATAGACACCACTGATTGGGGAAAGGCCTGAAAGTGGACATAATAGCTGTAGAAGATTACATTACAGTCAGTTTTCTTAACTAGGTAATCAAAACTGAGCTGATGTATTACATGAAGATATAAAAGAACTGCTTCCTATCATTAGAATATATAAGACAGTATATTTAAAAATGTGAATCCCTATTCCAGAATCAACAGTCACGTGAAGAACACAACAACAGAAGAGGAACAAATTCATTCATTTGATAATTACTGCAAATATTTTGTCATTAGAAACATAAATGCATATTCAGTAACCCTATGGCTAATAACATCCATTCTGCAGTATTTTGGTGGTCTTGGCTTCATTACAGAAACTGTTAGTCTTAGGGTTATTAATGAACATTTTATGGACATGTTTAACAGTGGATATTTTAACCACTGGGGGACAGTAGAGTACTAAGCCAAAGAAAAAAAAAACTCAGTGGTTGATGCATGAACTGCATGGGACATTAAAATCATTGGTACACCCTCAAAAATTGCTAGAGTCGTGGATGGATTGCTAACAGAACCCGTTCCAAAAGCTTAAATAGATAAAAATCAATTTAATTGCATTAAACATGCATTAAGAGATGTTTTTTTTATATCAATGACTTGTTATGTAAGAAGATGGTCTCTGCCAATACCACAAAATCAACTTCCCACTTTGTAGCTCTTAATAGCTTTTAGTTTAGCCACTCCCAGCCATTGTTATCAATCTGTGGGGGGGACAATGCTGCCAGCTGATGTAAAACAATAAGCAACCGCTCCCAGCACAACTCTACACTTAATACCTCATGCAAAACAGCTGACAGCAAAAGTTGGAGAGCAAACTTGAACATTCACTGTTGTTTGACACTGAAGTTTGGACTTGAAAATACATTTCAGTCTTTCAACTTCTGCCTTGGTGTGAAGTTGCTGTTTTTTGCTGAATCAGTTTATACTTGCAGAGTTTAGAAGAATCAAATTACTGTCAGAAAGGGACATTTAACAATGTGTAAAATCAAAGCTGGATTAAATCGTTAAAACCCTACTTTCTGCCCAAGACCGTAAACCAACAAGTTGCAGTATAGTGACAGCAGTCCTCACACACACAGCTGTAAATGGTTTGCATAAGATTATGTACACTGGATAGTTAGTGAGAATGAACTACTAAGAAGATGAATAAGACCAGGGGGAGAAGAGACTTGTTTTTCCTTCTCTTTTCCCAACATTTTAAAATCCTTCTCAGCACTCTGAGATGACTGATTCAAACACCTTTATCAGTATGTTACACAGCATCATGACTACCTAGCTTGCAGTACCTAACAACACAGTCATTCTGATTATACTGTAGATGACCTTGTTTTTACAGTAGCAGGTTCATTGTGATATACTGTACCATGCCCACATCCACAAACCCTACCTTAGCTAAAGAGCCCTTTAACAAATTACAGTATGCTACATCCATGACTGCTTGCTTTTCCAGTTTAGGCTCAAAACAACACATGGGTTTCACTGTATATGTGCTTATAATTATGTTTACATACTCTATCCACATAAGGAATCATCACTGTGCCTGTGTGATCTGTTAATAAAGTAGCAGAGCATTCAGCAAAGCCTGTAACTGTTACTGGATCCTAATTGCTGTCTGTTTATTTCCAGTTTGGTTTCTGTCATGACCCTTGCTGAGTCAACCGTGCAAAGTGAAATAACCCCTTGAAAAGACACACACACACACACACACACACACGTGTGAGTTAAGAAGCGCGCGCGCTCACTCGCAAACACACTTGTGTCCCAATTCATGTGCCACAGGCGTATGGAATTAAATGCATGAAAATCAGCTGCTGACACTGCTGCCTCCTGTGGCAATGTGAGTGTGTGTACATGTGTGTTTGTGCGTGTGTGTGTATAGGCTGCAGTCAGACGCAGAGGGAGGGGGGAAAAAGGGCTGTCGTAGCCCTCCTGCGAAGGGGAGATAAGCGCTGATCCTGAGCTCTGTCAACCCCGCTTTTCTCTGCAGCGGGACACAGCCTTCAAGAATCACCAGAAATAGACCCAAGGTGGCTTCACACACGCACACGCACACACACACACGCACACAAAATTCCCTGTGACAGACAGAGCTTGATGTGACATCCACTGACAGAGTGCCTGCTTTGGCTTTGTCTGACTGTGCACAACAACTCAGTAAACTGCTGGACGAAGAAGAAATGAGCGTAATCATCTTGTTGCTTGTTTAGCCACTGTTGCCAAACTGAGGCGGTGTGTCATTCCCGTTGTTTGATGCAAATATTACAATTTGACTGTGCCTCAGTTAATCCACCTGTTTCTTTGTCTTGGTTGATAAGCAGTGAAAGAAGGAAGGGCTGGTTGAAAGACAAAATAGAGTGACAGGATTTGGTATTCACAGTTTTCAGCATGTTTTGATCAGTAAAGCACTTTTTGACCTTCTTGTAACTATAATACATGTACAGTACATACCATATGACATGCGTTCACATAGACCCACACACATATACATCTGATAAAGTGTTCCACATTACATTAAGAGTCTTCTTATTAAATACTTTATAATAGAAAATCAACACATAATGCACCTTTACGGTAGATTATTTTACTCCTGGTTTTTAAATTAGAATCAGTCAATGATTGGAATCAATAAATAACATTTTATATACTCTGAAACTGGAATGTACATTGTTTTTAAGTGCTTGACTCCTGTTGCATTGTTCTTCCAAAAAAAGGCATCTTTTTTCTATTTTTCTTTTTTTTTTACTAAAGTTCCATTTAGGGGACCCATGGGGTCACATTTTCGGCGGGCTGCTACCTGTTGCAGCCTTCTCTAGCGGTGAACCAGCGGGACTTTGGGTCACCACTGCAGCCCCAACAACCACTCGACCTCCAGCAGGAGTGTCAGACTTTCCTGCTGTGCCTCCCTGCTTCTCCTCCGTTGCCTTAATCTGCTGTTCTTTGCTCTTGGCCCCCTCCTGGGAGCCAAGCTTGATTGGCCCGAGGACGTTTTTGGCCACGGTGGTCAGCTGGCTGACGAAGCTCGTCTTTTCACCAGGGGAGACAGGCCGTGACTTACAGAGGGAAGGACCACAGAGGGAGGGGGTGACGGCAGTCGGGGAGGGAGAGGGGGAAGGCGAATGCTCCTCCACCACCTCCAGGCGACATTTGTCCTCCCAGTCAAGGGTCCCCCGGTAGCAGTTGACTGGACCGAGTCCCTGCCTCACCTTGCCCAGGGAGAGCTGCTGCCCATGTGGGGGGACGACGGGAGCGAGAATGCGAGCTGGGAGTTTGGGGCTTTTGGAGCCGAGATCTGGAGTCCTCGAGTCACTGCTCTCTGCGCCGGCCTTTCTCAGGTTGTCCCCCATACCTGATGGTTTAAAGGTTTTGCTCATGCTCAGAGGACCTGCTATCACTGTTGCGTTGATGCCGATGGATTTATCTGGAGTAGAAGCAGAGCTCTTGGTGAAGGCAGCTCCAGGTAAACCAGGCCTACTCTTGTTGTTTCCTTCCTGCTTTGGCTCAGTTCGGCCCTTTAGCTGCTCCTGGGGATCTTTACTATTAGATAACACAATTTTGGCTGCTTTGGGGTCTTGCTGTTTTGGAGTTAAGTCTGTCGGACTCTTTTCAGGCCCCTTCTGACCAACTAGACTTCCTGTTGTTTTGGTAGGGGTGCTAGGAGTTGTAGCTTTAGTGGTTTCTGCACTTAATCTGGAGCTTGGGCCTGACTGCAAATTTAAGGGCAGCTCACTTGTATGAGTTCTTCTTGTTAAGGATGACTGGGATATTGTTGCTCCAACCCGACTCAATCTCTCCAGACCTATCCCTGTATCAGTCTCCCTCTCTTTCTCCCTCTCCCTCCCTCTCTCCCTGTCTTCCCTCTCCCTCCCGGCCAGCAGTGTTTCCCTGCTGAGCGGGGACTCCTGTCTTCCTAGTCTCCTCACAGGCTTCAGGACACCAGTCTCTGGGGAAGTAGAGGACGAGGGCAGGGGTGGAGGATTAGGAGGCAGATTTTCCCCTTCGGTCTCCAGCAGGCTCTGAAGCCCGAGCTCGCAGAGGAAGGCATCCTTACGGTACTCAGAGTGCTGCACCTCCAGGCTGTGCTTCCTCAGTGGACCCCCTAGCCCTCCTGTAGAACTGGACTGGGTCAGAGGCGAGCCCAGCTTCTCTGCCGACTGCACTCGTTTCAGAAGAGGTGATCGAGGGGGTTCAGCACTCTTGGGCCTGGGACGGACCACCGGCGGCGAGGAGTGGAGCTTGGCAGGGAAGGACTGGGTGGTGTTGGAGCTCCCCACAGTGTGGCCAGGCAAGGGTGGAGGCGACGACTGGGTGGGAGAGGGTGTGTGGGCCAGCGGGGACAGGGGGATGTTACCAGCAGACTTACAACGGGCAGAACGATACTGGCGGTGGAGCTTAGGGGAGAGGCCGTGCAGGGAGCTGGGCCTCATATGCTGAGAGGGAGCGGGAGAGTTTGGAGTGCTGGAGGCTGGAGAGCTGCTCTGGGAGGAAGCACCTAAAGGAAAACACACAGCAGAAAAGATCCATTAAGATATACAGACTCCCTGAGAAAAAGGCACACTTTGATTTAAAAGGGAATTTTGGCTTTAAGGACTGGAACAATTTCTGGCTTTAAAAGCTCACTTTCCAGGCCATACGCTGTGGTTTCTAAAAAAAATGTCATATTAAATAATCCTAATGTGAACTGATCTTAGACTACTTCTATTTGAAAACTTGTATGTTTGTTATTTATTCCCAATGTCCTACCCAGGTATGAGGGCTCAGGGGTGGAGCGGTAGCCCTGAGTCGGGGACCGAGCAGACAAGCTGTGAGTTGGGGAGCCAGGAAGACTCTCACTGGAGGACAGGGAGCGATTCAAAGAGGACAGGCTGCGGCTGGTGTGCAGTAGATTGGACTGCTTTGTGATCTTACGGAACAAGGAGTTACGCTTTTTACTGCAGGATAGACAGGCAAAGAAAACACAGGATGAGAAAGTAAGATTTGAAAAGGGATTAACAAAATATAATATATAATAATTTGTTAACAAACTTGACTATAAAAAAGGACTACACCAGTGATTTTTACCACGATATACCAAGAGTTTTGTTAATGCTTTTTTGCACATTATCTTTTGTCAATTAACAATGAGAATCAATTTGAGATACTTTATTTTGTTTTGTCAAAATGTTGAAACCTTGCTTTTGCATTCAAGGATGCTGAAATATCTGAAATTTCATTCTCTACGACCAAAAATGTGCCCCTGAGCAAGGCCTGAAGCCCTAACTGCTCCTTACGCGCTGCACAATGGCTGACCACTGTTCCTAATTAGGATGGGTTAAATGCAGAGAACAATAAATTTCCTTTGGGGAGCAATTAAATATAAGAAAAAAAGGAAGTATAAACTATTGACGTTTAGAATGCATGAAATCAACCCTGAAAACTATAAGTTTATAAGACATCATCAAAGACATGAGTAACACTGTCATTAACGTGTTGCAGGTGCGTCGGCTCCTACCTGTCCTGGCCGTCCTTGCCCATGGTCCTCTTGTTTCTTCTGGCCATCTTACACTTGTAGCTGGCCTTGCGGGCAGGACCCACTTTAATAGAGGTGTTCTCGAAAGGCGTGGTTGTCACCTTCACTTTGTTTCCACTCTGCACAGATCAAGGAAATAAAATTATTGTACACCTATGCTTATAATTATCCACTGTCAACCTTATTTACCAACAGAAAACTGACCAACAAAAAACTTTATTTACAGAATTAATTAGCAAACTTGATGTGTATTTGGAATACTTAAAGAGACACCAAGCTCAGAGCTACATGGATGTGCAAGCACTGTGTCTAAGTACAACTGACAACTTATAAATAGACAGCTAAGCGGCCTTTCACTGACAGAAATAGAAGAATTACACGGAAACATTGACATTATAAATATACTGTACAATTCAGAATGAATGAGCCTACTGCTGCCTACTTTGAGGATGAGCTCTACCACTTCAGTGTGGACCAGACCATGGACAGGCTCCCCGTTGACGTGGGTGATGAGGTCACCAGCACACAGTCCAGCTTCCTGGGCGGGGCCGCCATCTTCCACATGCTGCCAATTCACACAAAACGTTCGAGTTCATAACAGGGAAAAATTCATTACATGTAAACATTCAGAGTACAGTATTTAAATCTTAGACAGTATTTGTTTATTTCCCCTTTAGTTTGGCTATAAATAATACTAGTATGTTTTTTATTATAGAACAAATGTAACGGGAAGATAAATAATATATATAACTGGTAGAAGGTGTACCCAAAAACTCCTCAATAGTTTTAGACATTGCTGAAATCCCGTCCTTTCTTGCAGTTATTTTTAATTCACTGATCAGTGGGTTAAAAACTTTAAAATACACACTCAAAACTCACAGCACAAGCCATCCCTTTTTATGTGAGGATTTCTGCTCCAGTGCAAAACATCTCCAAACAGTACATACTACTACTACTAAGTTTCTTACCCAAACAATGTGATGCACGCTGTAGATATCACTGTCTCCAATGTAGACTCTGATGGCCCTGAGAGTAAAGCCATACTTTTTTCCAGAGCGATGGATGGTGATGGGAGAGCGCAGAACGCTGACTGCCGGACAAAAGTCTCTGCTGGGTGAAGAGTCACGGGACGAAGGGTTGGAGGAGAAAGAGTGGGGAGACATGGGGCTGGCCAGTGGAGAGAAGCCGCCATGCTGCTCCACTGGAGGGTTAGGTAAGTGAAGCGAGAGAGATAACATACTGTATTAGAGCACCACAAACTAATATTTCCAAAAGGGATTTTATTCTTTCCTTGTGCCTCTCACCTGATGGTATGATGACAGACAGAGCCGTGGCAGAGGCTGACTTGATGACCTTGTTTCCGTGTCTGGAGTTGCGTTTCTCTCCATCACCAGACAAATGCTGATGGCGAGCCCTGCGGAGGACCAGGTCATTGGTGGCCCGGGCCCCCAGAGGGTCATATAGAGGAGTCATCACGTCACGACCGGCTGCTGCAGGACCTGGGGATAATGTTTGGACAGCCGTGGTAACCTCCGGTGTCTCTCCATATCTAGGTGATTTGTCTGTGTGGATGTAGAGTCAGGTGAAAATTATAGTTATTTATAGTAGCATTTAGAGGTGAAAATAGCAATTTTAGGAATTGTCTAGCTGCCCACTCACTCACTCACTCACCAGCAGCTATCTAATAAGGTACTACAGGTTGGTTTTTCACCTCCTCCCCCCCTTGCTTCTCAGAGACTTCCCCCTGCTTACACACCTGCTCCGTTGATCTCCTTCAGACTGTTCCTCTGCTCCAGGAGGCAGGGTGAGGGGACACTGGTCCCATCCAGTGAGGTTCCACGGACCTTGATGGGCACCTGGCGAGACAGGAAGTCTGGCTCACCGTCTAGGGGTGAGGCAAAACGATGTGTATCCATGAGTGCTGAGAAGCGTCGGCGAGCACCAAGGGGAGGGCTTGCATCCCCGTCCATGTAGAGGGACTCTGAACAAGACAGGCGTTTCCTGCAAGAGAAAGATGAAGACACGGTCACACAAGATGATGAAAACTGTCTTCTCCTAAAGAATCCATTATTCAACAAGACTAAGGGCGCTTTCACACCTGTAGTTTGGTTCATTTGGTCCGGACCAAGTAAAAAAAATGATACACTGTTGCATTTTAGTTCTGGTCCGGTTCATGTTCACACTGCAGTTTTACAAACAAACCAGAGAAGTAACCATGACGTTACAAAGACTTACAGGTAACTTGTTGATTGGACAGCTTTGGCGATTGTCATCCTGCATCATCAGGACCCACGTGGGGAAATCAAACTCCGGTGACTGACAGAAGTTTATGCAGCATTTTACTGCTTCTGATCTGTATCGCAAAGAGCTCACGAAGTAATAATTTATTAAAAGCATGATTAGTAATGCTAGGCAGCAGAACGACCGCATAGCCTATTATGAATAATAACGTAAAAACAGGACATGTACAGTAATAATTCGGGGCTTATTCGCCTATAGTATACTGTGGTATTGCTGTCACACATTTTTTAACTTAATGAACTGACAGGGTAAACGGAATACTACTTGCCCTCTTTTTTAACAGATTTTAACCTATTAATCAGGGAAATACCCGCACTTTCAAGTAGGCTATACCTTATAAAATGATTTTCACAAACATAGGGGCTTATACAGATCAATTATAAGATCGCTGAATGCATTCCGCGATGGATTTATTAGTGGTTTAGCTTTGGAAATAATGCTCAGATCACATCTCTGCTATCATAAAATCCTGTTTTTGGTTCGTTTGCTTTCACACCACAAGCGAACTGCACCAGAGTTAATTTGAAAGCGTGCCGAGACCGCTTTTGGTGCGCACCCGATTGCTGCATTCACACCTGCCGAAACGAACCGCACCAAGGGGCAAAACGAACTCTAGTGCGATTCAACCTAACTAAATGAGGCAGGTGTGAAAGCACCCTAAGACTCAAGCCATGCTGGTAGCTCAGTAAGGCTGTCCGAGGCTGCTTTGAGTTACATGCTAATGTCAGCATGTGGTCATGCTCACAAGACATTTCACACTTTTGAAACTCATGGAGGCACTGGAAAAATTCAGGGGAACACCAAAGTAAGCAGGAACGGCCATCCATCTAGTATTTGTTGAGGTATTTCAATCAAGAGCAAAGTGGTGGGCCAACCGATCGACATTGTCATCAGTAGAGTCATACCGCTCTGTGATCTGATGGAAGTGATTGTTTTTACATTATGTCTTTAAAAGTAAACAGTAGAGTTTTTGACCTCTTGTAGCACTATTGAGATGTTTTCTCTGAGTGAACGTGCACGCGAGTTAAGCAATACACATTCCTGCCAATGGTGTTACACTGTTTCACTGATCAACAGGTGGCTGTAATGCACCAAGATATGCTCCAATGTGTAGGCAAAGGCAGGGTAGCAGAAGTCAGTACACATGGATGTAAACAACGGAAGATTCAAACTTCAAAATCATGAGGAAGGAAACACATTTAACACATTTGTTAAAACTCAACTTTACACACAATGCGTGTTGGTCGAGTAACATTGAATGTAAACATAACTTTTGTTTGCTTACAAGAAAACTCCACAGTGCACCTTTAATTAAAGAAATGAATGGATGTAATAAGTGGCTGCCGAAAAAGTAATCATAGCTGGCGAGATAAGGATAATTCATACTTGATGTGGACGAGGGAAAATCCAATATGTAAGGTAATAGATGAGCCACCTTCACATTATCAAATTTTCTAACTATTATGAATGCAGAATGTATGAATGATTTTATTTTACATATGAATGCAGAGGGATTGCAATCCAGACCTACACTTCCTAAAGATTGAGGTGAAACAGAGTTATGACAAGAAATGGAAATCTGTTTCTGCTCTGCGCTCCCAATCAGCAGTGTGTCAGTTATTAATATGTAGTGTGGACCCAGCAGGTTGCAGTCTTTGTAAGCTGCTTCAAAGCATGATAAACAGAGCAACAGAGCAGAACTATGTTTATTGAATCTAGAGCCCAGGATGAGAGTGATCTTTTCATTTAGGTGGGCTAAAAACTACAACCCTTTGTGCAAAGGTAATGAGAGGTGTCTTTCATTTTCATTCCAATATGAATAATCACTATCAGAATCAGACAGATGTTGACTATAACGAAAGACGAGCAAAGAAATCTTGTCTGTTAATAACTGTAGGTAAATGTAACTTCACTATTGAGGGTACAAATAGCATTAAACCACCTATATTCAATATTCCTAACATTACCAGTAACCATCCTTTTGTGTATCTTATTCAAAAATGACGCACTGGATTTGAGTGAAACAAGCAGCTACATTTGCATTATTTATTAACAAATTGTGGAAAAAACTGACACATCAGAGACATTTTGGTTTTCTGTGAGACATGTGAATCAACCATCCAATTCCACTTTTTTCCAGACTTTGTAGAAGTGGGATCTGTTGTCTGCTGCTGACTCAAAGTGAGTGTGAACTCTCACACAAAGTTCTTTTTATACAGAAAGTGTCAAAATTGTTGTCATTGAGATAGAAGGCAATTATTCAGGCACACTGGGGTAACACCCCACCTCACTTGCAAATTAAAATCATGAACATGCCTCTTCAATAATGGCCACTACTCACATCTCAGGGGACCCAGTCCTCCAGCTCTTGTCTCTCATGCTGAAGCTACCAAGGCTCTCTCTCTTGGTCACTTTGTCCTCGCGCGGACCCTTGTGCTCCCGGCGAGACACAGAGGTCGAGGCTTTCTGCTCCAGTTGAGACAGATGCTCCATGCTGCTGTACACCTGCAAGGGAACACAGTCAGATCAATAATCATTTGGTCTGTTTGCAGTTATTAACAGCTCTGGTGAGTGGGGATGACAGCTACCGTTTATATTTGTTTGCTGTAATTATATCTAGCATATTTGTTTCACATATCAGATGTGTCTATATATAAAAACCTGTTTCTCTGACCAGTGGGGAAGAAGTCATCTCCCTTAAACAGGAATGCCACTGATTTTACACATCAAAGTCTGTTTCCAGAAAAATACTGCATATGTGACAAAAGTTGTGAAAAGCCTTTTGGGAACTGAAGAAGCTGACACAAGTCTGGATTGTGTCTGGAATTTTTGCTTGAAAATGACTCAAGTAATTTATCGTCAAAAGACTTGCTGATTAGTTTTCTATCATTGACTAATTGACTATTCAACTAATTGCAGAGTGTGTCCACTCTAGACCCCATTAAGTGCGTGTATTCAACAGAGGTCTCGTACACCTGCTTTGCCAAAGTTAGTCATGGAGTTCCACAAGGATCTGTGCTGGAACCAATCCTGTTCCCCTTTAATAGGCTTCCTTTAGGCAATATTATCAGGAAACACTCCATGAACTTTCATTGTTATGCAGATGATACTCAATTATATCTATCAATCAAGCCAGATGAAACTAATCAATTAGCTAAACTCCAAATGTGCCCACAGGATGTTAAAACCTGGATGACCTGTAATTTTCTAATGTTAAACATTATAACAACAACTCAGATAAAACTGAAGTTATTGTCCTGTGGCCCAAGCACCTACGTGATGCATTACCTAAAGGTATAATTACTCTAGATGGCATCGCCCTGGCCTCCAGCACCACTGTGAGGAATCTCGGAGTTATCTTTGATCAGCACATGTCCTTTAACTCGCACATTAAGAAAATTTCAAGGACCGCCTTTTTTCACCTACGTAATATTGCAAAAATCAGGAACATCCGGTCTAAAAATGATGCGGAAAAACTGGTCCATGCATTTGTTACTTCTAGGCTGGATTACTGCAATTCCTTTTTATCAGGCTGCTCGAAAAAGTCCATTAAGACTCTTCAGCTGATCCAGAATGCTGCAGCACGTGTTCTGACAGGAACCAGGAAAAGAGATCACATTTCTCCTGTCATAGCTTCTCTGCATTGGCTGCCTGTAAAATCCAGAATAGAATTTAAAATTCTTCTTCTCACACACAAAGCTCTTAATGGTCAGGCACCTTCTTATCTTAAAGAGCTCATAGTACCTTACTACCCCACCAGAGCACTGCGCTCCCAGCTATCAAGCTCCTGTCTTATGGAACCAGGTTCCAGTTTGGGTTCAGGAGGCAGACACCGTCTCCACATTTAAGAGTAGGCTTAAGAATTTTCCTCTTTGATAAAGCTCATAGTTAGGGCTGGCTCAGGTGAGTCCTGAACCATCCCTTAGTTATGCTGCTATAGGCCTAAACTGCCGGGGGACTTCATATGATGCACTGAGCTCCTCTCTACTCCTCTTTCTCTCCCTCTGTATGCAACCTCATCCTGTTAATGCACGTTACTAACTTGACTTCTTCTTGTCTTGTGCTTTCTCGTCCCTCTCCTCCTATCACTTTCTGCAAGTGTTCCTAATCAATCGACACCCTCTGCTACTATTATTGCAACTATTGTACCTATTGTTATTATCATTAACATTACGGGTATTATCATTAACATTACTATAAATATCTGTGCCATTATTCATTCAGTCTATAGCAACATTACCTTTACGGTCTGTACCCCCACCCCCCATCACTCTCTCCCTCTTTATGGCTATCTCCCTCTCTCTTGCCCTTTCTCTCTCTCTCTCTCCCTCACCCCCAACCGGTCGAGGCAGATGGCCGCCCATCCTGTACCATGGTTCTGCTCGAGGTTTCTGCCTCTTAAAAGGAAGTTTTTTCTTGCCTCTGTTGCCTAGTGCTTGCTCTTGGTGGAAATTGTTGGGTTTCTGTAAATAACATCACAGAGTATGGTCTAGACCTGCTCTTTTATGAAAAGCACTATGGCTCTATATAAATAAAATTGAATTTGCTTGAACAAGGCCACTCAACAGCCATCAACAGTAACTTCAAATACATCTCAAAATTAACCTCAATGAGGCACTTTGGATTATCTGAAGAGCTCCTTCAGGACTTCAGGACACAACCGAAACATGAGAGGAATGGACCAGGTGAAAGACAGAGGGAAGAGAGAGCAGATCAGAAATAGAGGATGAAAGTGGGAGAGCCGATAGAGGAAATAAAAGACAGTATGAGGTGAGAAAATCCCACCCGAGAGGAAAAGTGTGACAGAATGAACACGCTGGCACGCTGAGAAAGAGACTCACAGATCGGAATTAAAAGAAACATGGCCATAGAAGGAGTGGATGTGCCAAATTAAATAAGGATGAAAGACTGTCTTCGTCATTAAACATACATCTGTAGAAACGTAAAGCAAGAAGCATTAAAGGCACATGGACCTCTGAGTGGTTTAAAATAAAAACAAGAAGAGGAATAAGAAGGAATGTTGTAACAGTTACAACAGCCCAGTAAGACTTTCTGAACTCCAGGTAAGAGACCTCAGTCCAGCCTCCAAGTCCTGCTTTCTGTACTGTCCTCATTGTATCTAAGACTCTTTTTTTCTTCCTTATCAAAGCCTGTCAAATAATCTCCAAGCGCCAAGAGACAAATAAAACCCAGATTGACACAATGAAAAAATAAATAAATAAAAACAGAGTAAAATGACAGAGGGAGGGGGAAGAGAGGGAATGAAAGAGGAGAGGGCAGTAGACAGACAAAGTCAGACCTTGCTGAAGCGAGGAGAACAGGAAGAGAACTGTTTGATCTCTACAGGCTCATCGTCATTGGTGTCATCCTCGTCATACGTATTGATGTGATGATAACGATCCGAGCGGGCTGGCAGTAGAGACACAGAAGAGATTAAATATATGAGCTGTCATAAAATGTGCATTTTTTACTGTGACGGCATCAGAAAAGTATTGTATAACCCATAAGCCTAATATTGACGCAGCTGCTGTACTTTACTGTACAGAAGAAGCCAGAGGAAACGTACTATCAAAGTAGCTGGTGTCCTCCTCTGACTCCAGGTGAGGGATGAACTCTGCCTTTTGTCTCAGCAAACTGTTCCAGTCCAGCTCTGTGAAGAATGAGTGCTGCTTCACCTCAAATGCTCCACCTGGTGGCAGGGGTACAAACAGCACAATCTGTCAGCCTTGTTCAAAACACAGAAAGATGGACAGACATGATACTTAAAGGCGCTTCAACTATAATTTTATGTTAACAGTGGATCGCATGATGACGTGTGAAAGGTGAGCAACCCACAGAGAATCATCACCCCACTCTGCAGTTTCACCCATCAAGTGGCAAGAAACAAATCCAAATAAATGCTAATGTTGCTCTGTGTCTGCTTGATTTGTAAACTATCACCTATTTGCTCTTTTAACGCAATGTTGTGTTTAAGGTGTTTATGGTTTATGGTGTGACTTAATCAACAGTCTTTTAATATAATATATGCAAGCCTGAATGCTTATTTGAAAAGTTAATGGATTTATTCATTCCTAATATAGACTCAAAATGGGTGCAGATCAGAGCTCTGATATCAAGTCAATGCAAAAGTTATTACCTGTACCCAACCTCACAAGAGGGTTGGTCTGCAATAGGGCAGAGATGAGGTCCTGGGAATCCGCAGGCAAGGCGTCATCACCTTCAGGCCAAACTATATCGTCTAATAGATGACAAAGAGAGAGCCAAAAGATCAGCATAACGAGGAAGAATGAAATTGCTTCCTTTTGAAGTAGTTTTCAAGATGACAAATCATAGGCTAGTCCAAACTACTGCTAAATTGCCTGTAAAAGCTGCATGTCACCGGGGGAAAAATTTAAACATGGAAGAAAACTATTCTATTTGGAGCAGTATTCAAAATCTTAAGACTTAAAAACTCTACATACAATGTGCTTTCTGAACTGTGTGGTAGTCTTAAAATACTGTAGCACACTTAACATGAACCACTTACTAAAAAGAAAGACACTAACCCAGAAACCCAGTTGAATGAAAACAGCTTTTGTAGTTTGCTTTTGATTGCTAAAAATGTGACCCTTAAAAAAAGTAGAAAAAGATGAATACTATTTTCTTACCTGTGATGACCTGTCCGAACAGCTGCTCCGGAGTATCCCCAAAGAAAGGCACACAGCCCACCAGGAACTCATAGAGGATGATGCCCATGGCCCACCAGTCCACCGGCTTTCCATAACCCTGACGGAGAATCACCTCAGGAGCGATGTACTCTGGAGTGCCACATACCTGAGTGATGGAGAGAAGGTTGAAGTGAGGGAAGACAGGCAAAGAAAAGAGAGGAAGGAGAGAAATACAGGTTGGAGATGCTTGACAAACTTAAGTTGTTGGCATAGCCACGGGAAACTGTAATGAAATCTAACTTGTCCAAGTTGCAGTGCATTCATCACTCATCCTCATCATCACTATCATCCTCAAAGATAATCTGTAATTATTCCCCTCCAGACATGTTGTAAAATATACATGTAAAACATAATATAATCTTTATATAATAATTTGTGTCTGATCTCTCTTTATACATCATTCTGCACACTGAAGGTCAAACATCTAAAGGACATAAAAAAAGAAAACCTTTTTCATCACTATCAAGCCACTCAGAGAGATTTGGTTTTATCTGAGATCTCTGTCGCTGAAAATTCAAAGCCAAAAGAAGGATTTTCACAGAAAGGTCTGTGGACTTTTCAGGTAACTGTGAACTTGGTTCTGGAAGGAGATACTACTGGTGAGCTTTTCAGATGTAAATTTTCAATGCTGTAACATTTGCATTTAAAACTGAAATGGCTGAATTAGACTTGTAAAGTCGGATTTTTTTCTTTATGATTTGGACAAACCAACACTTGAACACTAAAGTAAAAATGGAAATTGTTGAAGTTTTATTCTAATAATCATACATATATGCTCTTCAGGAGGTATGAAAGCGATGTATATATATATATATATATATATATATATATATTATCTGTGTGTGGTTACACAACAGGCACATCATTACGGAGTGAATGAGAAACACTCTCCTAATCAGAAGCTCCACTACAAACATGAAAAGCAAAGCCCTGATCTGTTTCATCCGCAGATGTGAGCTATTTACTGGCAGACAAACAGATGCCTGCTTCCACCCAGAAGAGGTGGAGGACACGCGGGCCAATTTGACTGATTATGACTGGTTTAATTCAGAGCATAAACAATAACTACAATTGCAAAATGGGATTGTAATGGAGATGGAGAGCATTAATGAATCACTTGTTCAGACTACACAGGTAGCATTGTTATGCAGTGTCTTTATTTGGAGTTTAGTGATTTTGGCACGCATGGCTGGGGAAGACTAAAAGGTGCTATGAATGCCAGTTGCCTGCTCACCACCATACATCAGAACTTCACTAACTTTGCATTACACACACATCTTATTCATACAGCCGCTAACCAAAGGCATCTGTCTGTAGCCTTTTATCCTTTATAACGTGGTGATAAAGTACTGCAGTTAATGTCCATGTACCTGCTTATCCAGGAACTCTCTGGCATCTTTCTCAATGTGTCCCTCGTACAGGTTGGTGGTGAGGCTCATTAGACCCATCTTCGACAAGCCAAAGTCTGTGAGCTTGATGTGTCCCATGGAGGTGATTAGTAGACTATGTGGAGAGAGAAAACAGGCGGTTTGACTCTTGTTAAGTTCAAATTCTGGCACATTGCTGTCAAATCCATACATATTTGAGTACGTGGTTATTGTGAATGCATGCAAAGTCATGATCAGAGGATGTCATTTGTTGTTTTCAATTGGATGCCGTTCTCAGGAGGACAGGTCTTAGATAATACATCAGGGGGAGAGTGCTGGAGCTGAGATATGGACACATGAGAGTGGCGCGCCGCAGATGAATGCACAGAGCAACCTTTCGATGAGACAGTGACTGACAATGACTGATAATCCTCATCCCTGAAGTATTTTTGTTTACTTTCTATCTGTATCAATTTGTCAGAATAAACTGAACCAACCGAGCTCTGTGCACGGCTGCCAAAACAAGAAGAGGACCGGAGCGGACTTGAGCGGGGCTGTAGGCTACTGAAGGTAAGGCCTGCCTACTTTTCTTGAGTGGTAATCAGATATGTTGTGGCTTGTTTGTAGCTGGTACAGCCATAACCCTAGACCTAAAAATGGGTGGTGCTGACGCAGTGGATAAGACACATCTTTTGGTGTGAAAGATCTGGGTTCGATTCCCTCTGCGACACATCAACCAACGTGTCCCTAAGCAAGACATTTAACCCCTGATCGCTCCAGAGCCGTGTGACATTTCTAGAAGTTGCTTTGGATAAAATGTTAGCTAAATGACTTATTATTATAAATTATTTTACCAGTGCTACCTGTGCTGTGACAGCTACATCAAATTCATGCAATTTTTCTCATCTATTGTACTATTTAAAGTGAGTTAAAGTGCTTTTTTCCAGCAATTCTCACTGGTATGTCATCCTTGAGAAAAGACAGGACTTTAAAAGCAGCATTAATTGATTTTTGGCCACTTAGGGAAGCAGAACAAACACCAACAAAAAATTCTTTCAACCTATACACTTGTGGTGATGAATTTGTTAGCAAACTGTTGATTATTTACACATCTAACAGTTACAGAGCAACACTATCATTCATTTGAAGTTGTGTTATAGACACCTGATTAATGTAAATCCAATATTCATCTTTATCTTTAACTCCTATTAGCCTTTTTAGTTTTTGGTCTGTAGTGTCTCCTGAGGGAAATATCTGACTGATATCTGAGTTTGTCACTACAAGAGACCCCTTTCACATCATACATAGTATTTGATCCATTTGTTTTTGTAAAAACTATTAATTAATGCAGCTTCAAACACTCACTTGTCAGGTTTGAGGTCTCTATGGACGATACCATAGTTGTGCAGATATTCCAAAGCTAAAACAGTCTCTGCAAAGTACATCCTCGCCAGCTCCACGGGCAGAGCCCCAATGTTCTTCAGCAAAGTGGCACAATCCCCACCTGAGAACGCAGAAAGACCACAAGTTGTTGTGAGCGGATTTATTCTTACTTGAGAAATGTTAAATTAATCAGACAAATGGTAATGAAGCACAGAAAGTCTGCAGGGTGATGAGGCAAAATAGCATCATAATAGGTGATTCATATAAATAGCATTCCTATTTTTGTGACGTACCTGTGCTTATGAGTGGGTATAAAAATAAATATATTTTTTATGTTTCTGGGGGTTTTTGGGCTTGTAATCCACCTTTGGCGCTCACTAAACCAGTGCAGTGTCATTATACATGAGTCATTCTTGACTACATTCATGCTCAGCTGCCCTCCAGAAAATTCAGCACAAATGGAAAAGGAAGATGAGCAGGGCTGGAGCAGCAGTGTGAATCTACTGACCTCGTTTGACTTTCATAGTCAAGAATCACTGTGATAGGGAAATAAGACTCTGCCCTTCTGGAAATGTGAGTGAGAGATTACACTCCGCCATATTATTTTCATTTCCTGACACTGAGCGGACAAACCATAATTTGCTATTCAGACGTGTAGCAGACACTTTTATCCAGAATTAAATACATTTTGTGACAAAGCTTGCACTTTAAGGTCACTTAAAATTGGTAAGGTCAAGGCCACAGTGCCCAGACAAAAGATTTAAAGGGAGCAAACTGCGTACTGATTTGGTGAAGATTTTATGGAAGCTAGAGATGTGCTAGGTCAGGACATAGGAGCCAGGGAGAAAAAGGCTGAAAAGTGTTGCTGTTGTTTAACAAGTCTGATCTAATGTGCGCCTGAAAAAGATGCCTGAAAAAGAGAGGGCAAATCGAACAAGACCAAATCACCCATTCAATTAAATTTGAAAAAGCCTGCAAGTAGTGTGCCTAAAAAACAAACAAATCTAACTCCCTTACCCTCAACATATTCCATGACCATGCACAGATGTCGCCGCGTTTCAAAGGAGCAGAACATGGAGACGACAAACGGGTTCTCTGCGAAGGTGAGGATGTCCCTTTCTACGAACGCCTGCTCAATCTGGTTCCTCAGGATCAGATTCTGCTTGTTGATCTTCTTCATGGCAAAACGCTGACGTGTCTCCCTGTGGCGCACCAGGTAGACAGCGCTGGAGAGATGACGAGATAGAAGAGCCAAGAAGTGAAAACTGGAGGGACTGGAGGTGCAAAGATGAGGAATGAAGGAAAGACAGCATGGTGAAACCGTGGTGAGACCATTATGAAGTGTAGTCCGCCTCAGAAATATCCTTTTTTTATTTTAAATAGGCAGATAAAGTGGGAGTAATACAGGCTTCACAGTTGCAATGTAATCCTTTCTGATCTACCCAATAAACAGAAAATTTTATAAATCTTTTAAAATGCAGCATCATGAGGAGACCACATGCTATTTTTTTTAAAATCCCTTCCGACTGCTTGTCAGAGTACATTCTGACTTTACGTCATTGGCTTTAAAATAATTTAACAGACCATTTCCTGAATCCATATAAGAAAATGCTTTTTAAAAATATTTACCCTTTGGATGTTGGTGATTTAATTATTCTCTGTGCCAGGATTAAGGACTAGAAGACTGCTTTTAGTGCCTGAATGAGTTTTTTTGGTCCATCCCACATTGGATTACAAGACACTATTAATATCTCAAACATGAGAAATATAATAAGACATCCTCTTGTAACACCTATACAAAACCCCACAAGAAACAGTAATATCAAATCAAACCATAACATTATATACACATACAGTATGTACTATTTTTTTCCCTCGTCTCCCAGGCTCTCCAAATAACTGGCTAAATACTGTATCAGAATCTTTTAGACTGCTTTCTTTTATTTATGACAGCTGGTTTTTAGTGTGGAAACAATATTTATTATTATTATAATGTTGCTGTAGTAGAAGCAGTAGTATTATTATGGAAGTTTTCTTTCAGTTTTCATCCTTCATGAGTGTCTTGCATGAAAAGCACTATATGATATTGAGCATGAATGTTGACTGTTGACCCTGGTAACAGTAGTTTGAATAAAAAAACCTTGAATACTTTGAACAATCTCAACTCAAGGCCCACTTACTGTACTGTACTTCTACAGTGGATTAAGGTTAAGTCAGGTTTTTTTTTCTTGTTCTAAACACAATATAAAAGCTTAAGTGGATTTGATGTTGTTTCTACAAGGGGTCAATGAGGTTCCCATCCATTGCTTACCCATAAGCTCCGTTGCTGATCAGCTTGATGCTCTGAAAATCTTCTTCACTCGGAGGCTTGATGGCTCTCCCTTTTCCCTGGTGACACATTCAGCATTTTTAAATTATAAATTCAAATCCACACAAAGGCGTTTTAAATGAAATGTTCAAATGCTCAAATGTCATTGCTACTTTGGTGATTTTGATAACTGTGAGTGTGAATGGTGGTGTGTATATGTAGCCATGCAGTATGTGAACGCATGTAAACACAGATGTGTCTGTGTTTATTTGTTCTTCACCTCTGCTGAGTCGTCGGTCTCTGGAGTATGTGGACCCTCACTGTCGTAGCTGTCAAGGCTCACGATTTCTGTGGAGAAACATGCAAGTTAACAAGCAAACCCGGTGTCATAATGAAAAGTGACTATTTTTCATGCTAAAACATCAGGCCTCCCACACTGCTGTGTGCAGATAAAACATTTTGCAGCTGCTCAGACATCTTTAACAAAACAGCTATTCAAGTTTCAAAACAGCTAAAGGGCTCGTCAGATCACAGAAAGAAAAACACGAGAATTAAAATAGCTTCCTCCTATTAATTTTTCTCTCCCTCCCTCTCACTTTGTACTTCCTCCATCCTTGAGCAGCACTGGCAGCAGATTTTCAGTTTTTCCACTCTTGTATGTGACAGCTGCTAGAATACGCATTGTTTTGTTAAAACAGGGAAATAATTGAATGATAATTAACTTTGCAAAGCGTTTACAAAGCGGCTCTGCAGATATTAACATCATGTAAAATAAAAGTCAGGAGCTGATAAATCTTATATTATGTCGGTTTCTGTTTGATGCTGAAAACAACTGATCTTGTCTCTGTGAGGAACCAAGAAAAGAAATGAGAAAGTGTGAAAGTGTGAAAGTGTGGACGTGCAAGTAGCTACGTGGGCGTGTGCATGTGTGTCTGTGCATGACAATGTAGGTGCAAAAGAAAGTGCAAGATCAAGATATCAAATGGCACATCGTTAGCTGAGATTAACTGAGAAAGACCAAGCAGGCTCATATTTTTCATGAATTCAGAAATAAAACAGCAGCAGTTTATTCGGAGAAGAGTCATTCCGGGTCATTTAAGCCATCAGCTTGTGAACAGCTTGTGATGGATTAGACCGGGAGCGGCTCAGCAGATGTGAATTAGAACTGTGACTTTCGGGGCCGAGTTTGAGCCCTGATGATTAACGAAAGACAGCGATGTCACAGCACCACCGCCAGCCAGTTGATGATCCAGCCAGTCCAAACTCTAAAGCAGGGGTTTTCAAGTCTGAGATTGTGGCCCTCACCCACAGACAAAATTGAGACAACAGCACCCCAACAGGCAACTACTGGAGGGGTAGACAAATTTGTGTCTGTAAGTCCACAGGACAAAGGGAAAATATCATTATATAAATTGAGTGTCAGTTTTGCACCATCAGAAAAATACTGCAACATAAAAAAGTTAATATTAATAGACTTCGGAAGTATAATATTGCCATGGAGTCAGTTTTACAAGTTTTTCTTAACCTATATTTCTTTACATTTGATCATATTTGCACCATTAAAAGCATGCCGAATTAGCTATGAGCATTTCCTATTTGCAATGTATCCATGAATGTAGAAACAACTATCACTGGATTACTTTGGTACTAAAGGAAACTTAAAAACATGATGATGCATGATGATGAGATGTACAGAACATCTTTTTTCTATGAATTCTAAGCTGATTTATGGACGTTTATTTGCGATGGACAAAATAGATAATGATATTCTTGGGAAGTGTAAGACATACTGAATCTATATGAAAAATATGCAAGTTATTTAATTGCGTCCATGAGCTGCATCTCACAGTCCCTGTTGCTGCTCCAACTGCTGATCGGGTTGATAAGCGAGACAAACTACAATGACTAACTAGGAGCTTAAATATAAATAAGCTTATTTGATAGTTAAATAAAAAGACTCATCTCATATCTGTCTATTAAGTATTGAGCTACAGCCAGGAGGTGATTGGCTTAGCTTAGCTAACAGGAAGCATGGGGAAAGAGCTAGCATGGCTCTGTGCTAGCACCTAAACAAAAAAAAAGAAAGAAAAGAAAATGACAGGGTGTAACTTAGTAAAAAAAAAACAGTTTATCCAGCAATCCAGCTGGTTGTCAGGTGACCTCCCTGTGACAGCAAGACTCTAGGAAGTCACTGCTTCTCGCCAGGTTGGTCATGAAATAGATACAGCACAAAACTCCACCTAAAACTACAAACATTCGTTCATTGCTTTTTGTATATTGATCAAGTAAACAAGGGGCGGCGTGGTGGTACAGTGGTTAGCACTGTCGCCTCACAGCCTCCGGGTGCTCTGGCTTCGTCCCACCATCCAAAGACATGCAGGCTAGGTTAATTGGTGTCTCTAAAATTGTTCTTGGTGTGGAGTGTGAGTAGTTGTTTGTCTATGTGTGGCCCTGCAATGGACTGGCTACCTGTCCAGGGTGTACCCTGCCTTTCACCCGATGTAATCTGGGATTGGCTCCAGCCCCCTGTACGCAGGATAAGCGCTTGACGATGGATGGATGGATGGATGGATGGATCAAATAAACAATACTTTTTTCAGTTTGGACAGAGCCGAGTTAGCCGTTTCCCACTGCTTTCAGTCTTTATGCTAAGCTAAGCTAATCACCTCCTCACTGACGTGAGATCAATCTTCTCCTCTTACTCTTGTCAACAAAGTGTATTTCCCAAAACAGAGAAAGAGCTCGAGTTGTCTTTGTCTACAAGGAGCCAGTCAAAAAGAAAGCACTGCAACAATTGAAAAACTTTCTCTTACCCTCCAGAGGGTCTCTGGTTAGCCCCAACTGGCCGATGATGTATCGAGGGATGTCTGCCTTCATCAATTGTCCCTCCTTGGCATGGTCCTCCGCTGCCTCCAGCAGATGGTAAAACTCTTCAGGGTTGAACTCCTGAATCATTGGAAGAGAAAAAAACTGAAATGCCAAAGACAACTACAATACAAATAAACCTAAAAGCTTAAACTACCAAGACTATCAGTCAAAACACCTGAAATAATTCAAATGTGGTGTTCATGTCCACAACAGCAGAATTTTAACACCTTTAAATAGGTTTAAAGACCAGTGCTGGACCCATATCCTCACTACAAGAATTCAAAAAACTCTAATCAGCTCCTGTCTACACCCAATAACAAATCAACGCTTGCTACTACTGTTTGATGCACAGGTTTACAAAAAGAAAACCTGTCTCTCTTCACTTGAGGTATTTCACTGATCCTGAAACAAATGTATTACAGGAAAAGTAACAAGGGACTGAATGAGTAAGACTGGTAACGTGTTGGTAAGTCATCATACCGCTTGCATGATATTTTGCCCAAAATCATGATAGCATCACGGTATCGCTGATAATGATGATATGATATATAGTCAACTGTCTATATATCATGATATACTTGTAACTGAAGAATAAAAATCACCTTTTGTATTGGAAAATAATCATTTTAAAGAAAAGCAGGGCCCATTTATATGGTGTATTTAGGCCTTCAACTAATTCAACTATTACTATACTTCAACTATTTTCAATCTGAATTAATCTAGTGATTCTTTTCTCAATTAATTGATTAATAGTGTGGTCTATTAAAGACCATGACATCCACCGTGAGTCCAAGGTGCCATCTTTAAAAACATTTTTGCTTGATAGATTCATCAGGTACAAAAACTGCCAATTCATTTTATCCAACTGACAAATCAATTAATCAACTTACCATTTCAGCTCTAACTGTATTTTTGCCTGTCCTATGCATTGATCACCTTTGAGTATAGATGATCATGATAATGCTGAACTTCCATAAGGTTCAAATGCCAGAAAGCAGAACAGTTCAAATGTCTGCAGGAAAAGAAGAAAACAGCCTCTGACTCAGCATCGCAATAAAATGTTTATGATATTGGTGCTAGAGCTAGATCAATAAACTGTCCAGGCCAATATTAGGTTATTGACGATATGTCAGTATTGATATACATGTCTGCTGATAAGTGACAAGAAATTGCAGTTCAGAAATGCCAAAGTAGGTTTGAGGTAATTTAGAAACAGTCTTACCACGACATAGTATGTCCACCAGAAAGAACTAACAAGAACAGTTTTCAGCTGCAAAATGTCATTAGTTTAAAAGTTAATTAATAAATAAATCAGTATCAAAATTGTTTGTTTATCTTATGCATTTTTAAAATTGACTATTGCTCATTATACTGTTATCAGATTTCTTTTCTAAATATTGATATCTGCATCAAAAATCTAGTATCGGTCGGTCGATTGGTATATTGATAACATGTTACAAGAGAACGTATGACAGCAGATCAGTATATTGATTAGTTTTCCAGCCCTACGGGGATGAATATTAAACCATGATAACTTACTTCCTAGTTAGCAGTAACAAAGGGATATAATAACGGCTAACAAAAGATGACTGAACTGAACTGATGTTACATCGTGTCACACCACATACATGCATCAAACTCATTCCAGCTGTGCCCAACTTGTACTCACAAAACTAGAATTAACTTCAACCTGCTGCAAATTCATGACCCAACACCGCTATGGGGCTGTCAAACAAACACAATCAGTGTTAATACACCTCCAAACTTCAAATTGCTTTTTCAACTGAAACAGCCTTTTGTGGTGTCCGGTGGGATTCTGTTTCATTCCTGTTGGTAGAATAACATTTTTATTAGAAAGCAGAGCCTGGGGCAGCCGGGATCATTTCCTTCCTCCCCTGCTCTCTCATATCTGCTCCCCTCGACCAGAGAAAAAAAAGAGAGAGTACGGAGAGAGGGAATTAACCTGACTCTCATAGCTTGCTCGGCTCAAGGATAATATTCTTGCAGCTAAAAGCCTACTGACTGTGTGACATTTTCACTAAATCAGACCTTGCAACTGACTCGAATGCTAAATGAACTCTACGACCATGGACAACATTTTGTCTGTGTGTGTGTTTTCTCCTCTCTAACCTAAGGACCATGAGGATCTTAAGTCCCCTCCACATCCTGCCTGACCCTATCGACCTCTTCTGACGGTTGCCTTGGCAACGGAAAGATGAGGCGAGAGGGTTTGGAGGAGGGACAGCGGCAATGACGAACATGTGAGGCCATCAATCAGTGAGCTGATATCCACGTATGGCTAAGTCTCTAGTGTAAACACAGAGGCGTGTTATTAGTAAGCTGAAGTGAGTAATGTACTGTACGTATCAACATGCCAAGGACACGTCTCCCAGCTGGTTCGATGTGCTGCTGAGAAGACAAGCTGTGGAGGTGGAAAGAATATTTGAGTCAAGTTGGAAAAATATCCTATGGCGATACGCGTGTACTCCACTGCTGCAGAGATGTGCAGCATGTCTGATGTACTGAATGACAAAGCTTAAACGAAACCATCACTTCTAATATAGTATCCATACATCAACTTCTCATTAAGGCCGAACAATTTGGGGAAAAATTCTAATTGTGACTTTTATAGTGTTATACGATTCGATTTGCAATTTTTTTAAAATGAAGTAATAAGTAAATATTCACTTTTTGACGCAATATATCAATATTCACTTTTTGACGCAAGCCGTGTCAAGCAGCACAGAGCAGATGAACCAGGCAGGATGTCAGACACAGAATGGCATAGAGAATCCGGATTTTCAAAATAAACACCGTATGGAGACTCCCAAATGTACAACAACAATAAACATGGTTAAAACAGACAAAAAAGGAAACAATTTAACATCGTAGCTACTTAACCATAGTAGAAGCAGAAAAATCAAGGACAACTGAACAAATAAGCAAAATGTTAACAACGTGTAGGCTAAACGCTCAGCTGCTGAAACACTTCAGTGTGAGTTTCCTTGAATACCTTGAACGCAGTTCAGCAGAGCCATTGCCTGTGTCGATTCGGCCGGCGCCATTAAACCATGTTTTCCTCTAGTTTCATTTGTTGTTGGGAAATGTACACGCCCTTTACTCACTCGCTTGTGATTGGCGAGCAGATCTGTCACACAAGGATGACAACGGAATGAATCTGTAACTGCGTGACTGTTTAAAACGGGTCAGATGCACTGTATAATTAACCTACATTTTAATCGCCGTCTTCGCGATTAGCTAATCGCGTTCTTTCAAATCGCAATTTTGATTTGAAAACGATTAATCGTTCAGCCATACTTCTCATATATTAAGAACGCTAAAGGTGAAACTGCATTTATTGGAAGCAATTGCACATTAGCAGCCATCTCCGAATGCATAGGGGACGTAGTAAATACGCAGCACACGTGCAATAAGGAGGTAAAGAGTAGAACTTAAATGTGTTTTTCCATGGTTTTGATTCAAATGCAGCCATGTTGACTTATCGTTTAATGATACCATGTCTTTCTTTTAGATTCACGTTGCTTCCATAGTCAGTGAAATACTAGATATGTACTGTATGTACCCTGTTTTGTAATGTTAAGATTATTTTTTTTTCTAAATGACAAATCAACCCAGTGCCTTCCAGTTCATAAGACTTTTGTCCACAGGTTTTAAGGGGCATTCCAGCAATTTAGTACTGCATTTCCATAAGGTCGGGGACCCATAAGAAACAGATCAACAGTCAAAGTCGAAGCCACAGAGATATCCTAACTTTTAGTCCCACAAATGCTAGATCCTATATTTCCCATAATGCAACTTTATAAGGATTGATTATACAACTGTTACTGAAATGTATATGTGAAAATGCTGAATCACTGTTAAATCATCTGTTGAATAACTCTAAAGGGGCACTGCAACCATTGACGTGACTGAAGACTGACCAGAGAGATTTTATACATCAGCTGTTTTCACACGCTTAGTACTGCTCCCCGTGCAAGTAAACTGAACTCCAGGTGTAAGATTGGTGCACTGTCCCTTTAACAGCAGCAAAAAACACAGTTCAGGTCCGGGAGATGAATGGCAAGAGATAAGAGATGAAACCCCAGTGATGAACTCACATATCAAAGACTTTTCACTTTCTTGCGTCTGAGTAGAAGGAGCTTAAAGCTGTTGAAGATCTTCTGAAGCTCAAAACAGCTCAAAAACTCAAGTTCTTATTTTAATCTCTCCAGAAACAACAATGTCGGGTAAAATCTCTTGTTCTAGTGCCTGTACGGGTGGACTGTGCAACAAATATAAAATGTGTGTGCACGTACATCATATTGTATGAGAGGCAGCAAAAGTTATATTTGTTTACTACAGTAACGCATTGTATTATTTTCTCATGTCTGAAATACTAGGGTTAATGTGATATTGGTAGTGGGTACTGGAATTGGTTCTATTTGTATGTTGCTAATTTGCCGTAATTGAAGGCTTTTGATTTCTATGTTGTAAAGATCTTACACGTGGGCACACCTCGTCTCTGTTTTTAATAAGACTGAATGCAGGTATGTAATTATGGAGTGTATATTCCTTGTTTGAGTGTATAAATAAATCTCCTTTATTTTATATCCCTGTGCTACCACCAGACTAGAAAAAAAGATGTCTTTTTATTTGACAAAATTAAAACAAATGCAATGTAAAAGATAAAAAAGCCTTAAACTAGTACCTTTTGGGAGTCAAAGATGTGACACACTTAGAAAAACTGTGTTTCATCACTTCAGACTGAACAGCAGACAGCCTGCCCCTCTTCTGCTAATTCTTTAATGCCATTTCAGTGTGAAGGAGTCGACTCTCCATCTCCATGTGGGAGGACGGGAGTCTTTTCCAGCAGGATGTAAAAAACAGCCCTCAGAAACCAAAAGATCTTGTCACTTGATTTAAAAAAATGCTCATTTGGTGAATCTGTATCCGTGTGTGTCGACTATCTCTGAGGGACTCACCAAACACTCCAGGAGCCTGGCTGGACGAGATATGATGATAAAGAGCTTTTTCACCAGCTCAATGACGAAGGTCAGCTCCGAACTCTCTGAGCGCTCATAAGCCTGATAGCAAGAGAGAGGCAGACAGAAAGATACAGAGACAGATTAAAGTATCATAAGTAGGCAGCAGAATGGCCCCTACCAGTGTTATATTACTTTATTATATATATATATATCATACTTTTAGATTATTATTCCATTATTATAAGCAGCATTGTAATATTATAGCTCTCCAAAGCTTGCAGTTTTAACTAGTTTCTGTACTATTAGTTAATTAGTATGTGTCAGATAAGTGTAGTGGACTAGAAGTATAAAGTTGCATGAAATTGAAATACTCCAGTAAAGTACAAATATTTCAAAACTGTAGTTTGGTACAGTAATTAAGTACAAGTTAAGTTAGTAGTGACTCTCCACCACTGGTCACAACTCACGTCATTCAGCAGCCTCTCCAGGTTCTCCTGCAGTTCACAGAAGTAGACGCTGGTGATGAGGCCCTCACGAGATTTGGTCAGGCAATCCCTGGACAGCTCGGCTACCTGGTGGTGGATGAAGCTGAGGACACCATCGGCCAGTGGTAGAACACTCTCTGGGGAGTAGTTGTGGATGAACTCTGCCAACCTCTCCTCCATCTGAGCTGTGGCCTGATTGAATACAAGACGTGGTTAACGGTCACTTCTGTCATCTTGTCAGGCCAGCGTTGAGAAGATAACGCAATCAACGGATCTCCCTGGGTTGTGACATCCCGGCTACAACACCTTGACAATTTCTTCTGCCTGTATGGTGTGTTCGGTGTGTGCCACGGATGTCAACTGACGCACGACAAGTGATGTGACTCTATGTGACTCGTCTGCTGTTTGATAAACTTACAGGTTTCTATTTTTGACTCTTTCGACTGGGACCTTAAGAAGCCTTTGTGTAATAATGCCATCACCCATTCATTCATCACACTGGGCTTGAACATCTGAACAAGTACTCAGATGGGACAAACCTTCAAAAGTTCATTTAAAACATAATTATATTAATAATAATTATATTAATTTCTTTGGGCCACGTAGGGGCAGTGTTGATCACAACCGAGACATCATCACCTTTTAAGTTGATATTGCGAACCTTTTCAGCTAACAGCTGCTTATTTACACATCCAGCAGTTATGGAGCAACATTATCATTCATTTGGAGCTGTGTTTTTTGGCCACCTGATGAATCTAATATTCACTCTCTTTTAGCTCTGTTTTTGGTCTCCACCAACTTAAGGGAAATACGTGGCTGCTAAATGCTCCACCAGCTAGCTGCCAACTGTGTCTGTCTGCTGTTTGGTGCTGAGCAAGTAGTGTAAAGTGGATTTTTAGAGCTTTTTCACTAAAAACAGCTGCCTGCTGCAGCCGAAAACTGCGCTATGAGAGCAACAAGAGTGTCCCAAAAAAAGTTTCAGGTCAGACAGCTAAACAACATGAGTAAATGAAACTATAAAGCTTTGTAAAACAGAGGGGAGCTGTAGACTCTGTAGACGAGTGACCTCTTTATTTCATTATTTTCACACTGGCATTTAATTAATTATTCTTATGAAAATATTGATTATAGCCACTTTAATAATCTCACACTGGATAAAGAATATATCATGTTAAAAAGACGCAGTCTACATGAATCTGACAAAATCTGCTGTAGCTAGAGTCACTCACTTGTGTATCAAATTTAGGCTCTATTAAGCTTTTATCAAATCCCTATTTCAGGTATGCAACTGCTAATTATTCTTCTTATAATGACGGTGAGGATGCAGCATGTTGAGCCTTCATTCACAATCCTGACAACTGTGCAATAGAATGTGGGAAGACTCGTTAGCGGTGCTTCACAATGGAGGTGGTGTGTGTGTGTGTGTGTTTGTTTGTGTGAGTGCAGGCAGGTACATTTCCTGGCATACACTTCCTTGTTCATAGAATCATACACACATTGAGTCATGTATCTATGGTCTCGGTATATAATGCATACAGACAGGTTTTAGAGGTTATGCACAGTTTGATTACATGCTGGCATGGAGCAAGATATGTGATCTAACCGAATATGTGCTCTTGATCAGTGACTCATGGGTCAGGTCTAGCATTTCAGACAGGGTTGACCTCCAGGAGTTTGCACACATTGAGGTTTCAACAGCTTATCGAGAACAGTGAAATAAAATCCCAGCGGCAGCAAGATGACTGAAAGTTGTCTTCATGTTGGAGCTCAGAGGAGAATGGTAAGCCTCGTAGTAAGTAACAAGGGCGCAGAAATACAGATATAACAGCTGAGTGTGTGCGCATGAGGGAATCTCTGAAAACACTGTTGAGTGGATAATAAAATGTTTTTGACCAACAAAAAGTCGGTTTCATCATTTTGAATGCGACAGCATACCTAATCATTCTCGTTGACTAGAAGTATGCCCGTTGTCTGCTAGTTTACAAATAGACTTCTATCATAGGATCACAGAATGTCTCCAGGACTGTTTAATGGATGTTCGTTCATTCAAACTGTCTGATAGATTACCTCTGCGATACGGTCATAGGTAATGTTAGCAACATATAATGTGCTGCCACAAATATCTTCGGGGCCCGTGTGATCATGTGGAACATTTCTAGGATTTAACTGAGTCCAGGTTTTCTGCAGGTTTATCATTCAGGACGTCCGCATGACATGCATGTAACCCAGAAATTAGATTAGCTCCAGATCAACTGACAGTGATGTCTTGCCAGCTTTTACATCATTTTGCAAGTTGTCCTATCCCGCCAATTGATCCAAAACGCAGCAGCCTTTCTGATCTTCACTTTGCCCAAACACCCCACTGCTACGCTCCCTACATTAGCTTCCTATAGTGCCTTACATTGGATTCAAGTCCCTGATGTTAATCTACAAAGACTCTAGCAAGAACTCTACCGTTCACCTGTAGCCTTTCCTTTCACAAAGATCCTCACAAACATGCAACACGGATCTCTTGTCTTGCAGTCATTTGAACTGGATCCCAGTGGAGATTAGGACTGCAGAAACCCTCACGTCTTCTAACAAACCCAACACCTAAGAGCAATGGAAATTTCAAGAAAAATGGACAAATTTGTTTTTTATTCCATGGATCTAATGCTTTGTGTTTTCATTATCCAACTGGTTTCAAGCCAAATCTAAGTTATTTTAAATCTCATGGTTCTGGATGTTACACAGTAAAGGTAGCTGCTTCTACCAGTGTGGCTGCCATTGAAAAAAATAGTGTAGTGTAGAACACAGTTCTAGAGAATGATTTTTAGCTTGTTTACTATTTGTTTTGGACACATTGTCACTCCCTGTAGCATTTAATGCATCGTCAGCAAAATCACTGGAAAGATCTGAACCCTACCATTACAAATAATAACGCAGTCATGGGGTTTGAGCAGGAAAAAATAACCTACTGAATGTTTTAAATGTAATTCAGCTTAGCTTAAGAGGTGGCAACCGACTGCATGCGTACTGTTTGTGTGTATTTTAATGTGTGTATGGATGCACAGTTTAAACTTGTGTATTTGTTTATATGAGGCTGACCTTGGGGAATCGCTCCTTGTAGACATGGTTCATCATCACTATTTCATTGTCATAGCAGGATGGAGAGCGCCCCGGGCTGAAGAGAGACAAACACAGAGAGCAGGAGTGTAACATACAGCACTGACTGAGAAAATCAAAGAAAGCAGGAAAACAGAGAATGAGGGCAGGCAGCCGGTGAGGCAGAGAGATGCAATTCTGCACTATTCATTTGAATGAAGGAATAATTCACTGCTTCCCCACATGTCCGTCCTGTCTGTATATTATGCTAATCGACCGATCAGGAAATTCAGTACACTCAGATTAGTTTTTCTAATGGATCCAGAGTCCATCATGCCACACTCCTCCACCACAAGCATCAGATATCAGACAAGCGCAAATACACTAAGAGTCACATGTGCACTTTCCTACACACACACATGCACAGATATAAGACAAGGCAAAAAGTCAACATGTGGTGGGAAAAAAAGCCCTAAAACTTAATTCTGTCATCTCATAGAAGCTCATACAGTGCTGAATTAGACATTCACAAAAGAAAAGCACATTATGAAAGAATGTCTTGTGGACAAACACTTAGCACAGAAAGATGCTATATGAATAGAGATAATGAGGCATGTCAAGGTGCACAATAAAGGCATTCTGTACACTGAAGCCACAAGATCAGATATTATTTAGGGCAGCGATTGCTGAGGAGCTTAATATGAAAACTGAATACTGATTAGTAATGACATGCTGTATGTAGCTGGGGCACATTGCATCCAGAGAGGGGGCTATAATAGGTGTGGTTGGATGGAGTGTACACCAGAGACTTCTGCACTCTGGAGAGGCTTGTAGCACTGGAGGGTGGACTGGTACTGATATAATACTAAGTACATTTACTCAAGTACTGTCCTAAAATGTTGAGATACGTGTAGTACTTTACATAAGTATTTCTGCAATTTTTTTCTACTTTAAAATAATACAGCACAACATGTGTGTAAATATTTTACACACAAAACAAACGATCAAGAGGTAGTATATCGTAAGGCAGTTCTTTCACTTGTAATGTAGTCCATATGTATTTTATAGTGTGGTATTGGTACTCTTACTTCATTAAATGATCTCAATACTTATACTGTTATTAATATATAACAATAATATTCTAATTACATAACAGTGAGATACTGAGCGGCCCGGACACATTTACAGCACAGCACACACCTGGAAGATGAGAAACCTGAAGAAAATAGTGTACACTATGAGTACGCTTTCCATGGGCAGGAAAGCAGGTTTTTACTGTCAATTGGCCTCATTTACATGATACTGCAAAATACTGTCATTTATGAAATAAGAGCCACAAACTGAATCTCTCATTAAGTGGCAGAAAATGAAGCATTCATCAGCACTGACACACACAGAAGGTGAATTATACAAGATAAGCAACAAAAGGCTTGTGCTCTAAATAAATTATTGAGAGCCCTCTGCATCTCTTCATGACCAGAGTGAAGTTGTTCCTGCACGCTAATTAACTTTTCCCTTTCATAAACCAAAAGGGGAGCTTAATGTCTTGTCATAAAAGCTTGACATGTGGGATTTTAGTTACTTTTGTTTATATTTCTTTACCAGATGATCTTTACAAATCTGCTACTTACAAATAAGGCTTTGAGCAAAGTTGTTCAGTACTACTGTAGCCAGAAAACAACCAGATGGTTTGTGAAATTCTGTCACAGCATTATTTTTAACTGGGTGTAAGTGGCAGAGTCGGAGACTGGGAGCTACTTTCTGCTACTCGAAGAAACCAGCCTCAAAGTCCTTTTATGCCTTCAGCTCTCTGGGATAAATTGCATTTAAGACATCTGAATCAAAGTGGGCTAGAAGCCTAGTGGGGGGTCGTCTTTTCCCCATGACCTGCTGTGCTCTCACCTAAGGCTTCGAGAGCGAGGGCGGACGTGCGGCGAGCGTCGGCCTCCGTCATCGTCCGTGATGCTCTCAGTGCTGCCAAAGTGCTTGGACAGAAAGTGCAACTCGTCCATGGTCGGCTGGAAGGGCAGCTGGTGCAGACGCTCTTGGGATGAGCTGGATGACTGGAGAGAGACATGAAAAGGCAAGGTTAAAATGCGAACTGCTCTTTGTTAGATCTTTTTTTTTTTAAAGCCTCTGTTACAGCCGCAACATCAGTAGTTTAAAAATAGATATCCACTGATGGAGAAATCAAAAACGACAAATGGCAAGAACGCCTTAATTGATGTGGTCACAACAAGAGAAGAGAAGAGAGGAGAGCACAAGGTGTGCTATGATATGAGTGGGTGGAAAGAGCTGAAACAAAGAAGAGACTAACATAAAAGAACAAGGAAGTAAAAGAGAGGTGGAGAAACAAGAAAAATATCCAGAAGGAGTTAGTGTAGGAGGGCAAAACTGAATAATGTGGACTGAAAACCAGAGCGAAAAGACTGCAGGGAATGAAAGAGCCACTCCACCTAAAAGTTGACTGCTGCTTTAAGTGTCTGCTGCCTTGGGGGGGTTAATGGCAGCGCTATTCTGTCTTAAACAAAAGACTTTTCTTCAGCACAGGAGGGAAAAACCAGCCTGGATCAATGGGAAGCTTAATGAACACATCTCCCAATGGGACACCATGGTTGGCTTTGGCCACATAACGATTTCTGCTATAAAAATCCATTAGAATCAGGTCTCGGCCCCTCGCAAGCTGCAGAGAAGCATTGAAACCATGGCGTTGTGAATGCAGCAAGTCCAGTCAACAGAATCAATTAAGAAGACCCACAGAGAGCTCAGAAGAAAAGCCACTGGATATTATAGTTGTCGAAGACGAAAACTATCTCATATCTGTCTCGGGTGCATCTCAATTCACATAATGGCATCCAGATCTCCTTCACCTGCACCTTAGTCCCTCCAACACAAGAGATGCAAGGAAATATGCAAGGGAAAAGCACAGTACAGGATGAGTCAGCTTCTGTAGCCTCTTTTAATGACTTGGAATTTGTATTTATTATACAATAATAAGGATGTACAGACACCATTTCCAGCACGTTCCAGGTGGGGTTTTTGTTATATTTCCTCCCATGCAGTAAAACAGAACTTGAAATTAGTATCTGCATTTTTTCCTTTTAAATAAACAGTTTGAAACGTCCATACATGCATCAAAACTTATTTCTGTACTTGCAATGTACAGATCAAACCATAGTTTGTAAATGGACCTCACTGTCCAGACGCTGAATGTACAGTACACGAGCCATTTCTATTGCAGGAACATGTTTTTGAAGCTAATTTATTAATGATTTGCATCTGAATTTTTTGTTTAATAACCAAGATTATGATGTCTCATTTGTAGGACATTTTTGGGCCTGCATTTTTTGTGTGTGTAAATATGTATGCATGTATGCAATTTCACATCAAAATATATTTTCTTGCCAGCACACAGGGACTTTCAGCGTCGCATATATGACTTAATGGAAATAACCCCAATGGAAAACTCCTGACTATGATGTTATCCATGTTACGGGTGAAAAGAAAAAATGAAAATAAACGCTGTTCTGATGAATGATGAAAGTTGGTTATGGTGCCTTTGTTTCCTTTGCTTATGTGAATCAAGAGCATGCTGAGATGTACCGACAGTCCACAGTTTTCTTCACCTGTAAGGTTTCATCCTTCAAACTTCTGCCAATCTCACCTCTATATTCAACTGGTTACATTTCTGACGTTTCTGTAGCTTTTCTGCATAAATTTGGTTCACATCTACCTATTTATATCGCAAACTCCTCCACACATGAACACACACACACACACACACACGCACACATCTCCTTTCATCTGCTCTGTTCAGTATGCAAGGGTCCCGCTGCAACTAATCAAGCAAGTAATGGCCCATGTAGGAACCAGCAGAGCACTGAAACCTGACGGGGGGGGGGGGGTTAGATGGAGAGGAGTGATGGAGGTGGAGAGGAGTATGGAGAGACTGAGAAACCATCTCCAACCTCATTTACCAGTAAAAAGAGATCAATCAGTCGCCTGCAGTGTACGTCTCTGTATATAGTATGTGCTACTGTGTGGAGATGCATGAGATGCAGTTAATGAAGGAAATGATGTGTGAAAAAGCAGCTAAGATGCAGAGGAAGTGATTGTGTTCAGGACGGCACAGAAATGTACATGGAGTGGACGATGAGTCAACACCTTGCCTCCACCTGGGCATCATACACATTAATAAAGGTCGATTTGTCAAATGGACTATTTACCAAATGGGCCTTGGCAGTGTTCATTTCTCTGAGTAGTATGCTTTCACTCAGACAAAAGTGAACATTGTTGTTGTCTCTCGGTTAGCTTCAAAACACGTCTGCCTTCCACCTACACTGGCTTTTTTGTCTCTGTTGCCCCTCTTTATCATCCATCTCTGCTTCTCTGGGAATAAAGTGATGGACAGAGAAAAAGTTACTGGAACAGTTTGCGACTGCAAGGCAGAAATACAGATTGGTTACTGCGGATAAATGAGGTCGATCATATCTTAGCAACTGATCAGTTATTTTTAGTTCTGGTTTACATGTGATGCATGTTCTTCAGCAATAAAAGGGCTCTGAAATAATCGTCTGAGACCTGCAGCAGCAAGTTCAAAGTCAAGGAACACAGGGGAACGCGTGTGTTTGTGTATGCACGGCATTCAGCTGCAAGTGTGCCGTGTAATCATTTCAAAGCGGAACGAAACAAAGGTGGAACATGCAACTTTAGAACATGAATTTACAAGCAGAACAGCGCACGCCGATTTTATGCATGAAAATATATGCAAATAAATTATTTGAGTGAAATACATATTCATGCAAAGGATACCAAATCCAATCTAAAATATGCTTTTGTGTGTTGCTTTCAGGACTTATGGAGCTAAATTATAAAGAGAAGAAAAAGCAGATCCCACACTTTAGAGTCATCACTTTTCTCCTGTGTCTCTGGAAAGATTGGAAATGAAAGAAAGTACAGTGTTTGATCCTTGTGAGCTTTCACTTGTCACGCTATGAAGAGGGAAAACATGAAGGAGTTTCCAATTTTTCCGGAGGCTGCAGCTGTGGTGTCTTGTTTGATAGCCACAGGTTTTGTGTTACAAGGACACACTTAGTCAGCCCCATCCTGCGTAAGGGCAGAGGCTGCTGCAGTCATAACACACGATGGATGAAGGAAAGTTGTGGCTACTGTAGGCATATCTGTGGTCGTGTCGTTGACCTCTTCAAAGAGAGAAAACACACGCCTATTTCTGAATCCAGCTCCAGCTAGAATGATACATAACATTAATTTGTTGTTTTGTTTTATGTTTTTGTACACCAGGAACAATTTCATGTTTGGTGTCTTGCTTAAGGACACTTCTACAGGAATCGAGCCACAAACCTTGTGATTAATGGCCAACCCACTCTATCACTGATGTTGCACTTATAGAGCGCTTTTCAACCTTAGCAGGAAAACGTCTGTCATTCACACAGAAATGGTGGTGGAGCTGTCAAAGCAAGGCGCTGGTCCGCCAACTGGAAGCAATGACCTCTCTCTTTGTTCAGGTTGACTTTTCACTGATCTGAAATATACTGACTTAATCAAGTGGACTGAGTTCGACTAGGACTTGACCGATCCACATTAATACATTGAATTAATTTAGTCACAGATTTTAACTTTTGTAAGATGAAACAATGGTTTTGGTTTGGATATCTGTATAGGACTGTTTAGAAAGTCAGATATTTGAAGTATTGGAATCAGTATCAGGAGAGAAAAAGTTCTCCTATCCTCAAGAAGACAAGATGTTCCAAAATGATGATAAATAAACCTAAATTTAAATGATTGGATGGGAGCTATGAGTGTGTGGCTTTATTTCTTACTGTTGAACTAGGTGTGTTGGTGCCATATCCTGAGGATGGCAGAGAAGCCAGGGACCATCTACGACCATCAGCCCTGAGGAGAAAAGAAAGGAAAGTGGAAAAGGGAGAACATGTGTTAGAATGAAATGGTTTTCTCTGCCTCTTTCAACAGCCAGAACTCCAATATCAGTTTCTATTTTAGTCTCTTCAAACAACACAATCAGTGGTTATACTAAAGCAATTTCACCACCTTCACTTCCTTTCAATCTAGCAAATTGCACTTATGTTCTTTTTATTCTGCTCTTCCCTCAGGCGTTCTCCAGCCACCCCTGAGTCTGACACTTCCTCTGAGTGAGTGATGAGGGATACACGTTTGGGCAAAATCCTGGCACCTCGCCTCATTCAGCTCGGCCTGCTGTCAAAGCTCTGTCACACGGACACTTGGTGGGAGCAGCGTAGGACAATGACAGGGCAGAGGCATGCAGTTTCATTTTGCATGTTTGTGTGTGTGAGTAGGTGTGTTTCCCTCCAGAGTTTCACTGTGTGTGTGTAAAAATAATCCTATCAACAATTTTCACTCAACTACTTTGCACTGCTCTTGTAATGTTGCATTTGTGACTTTTTGTGTGAATAAAGGAGGGACGCCAACCTGCGAGAAGAGGCAAAGGAAAAGTGGGCAGGTCCGCTTGGTGAGAAGTTGCGTGGGCTGTCCAACGGACTGCTTCCTATTGAAATACATATGGAGAGAACACAACAGAAAACATTAACTGTGGGTTATTGGGAAGGAAAACCTAAATTAGGTTTCAGGTAACTACAAGTCACTCCCATTTGGTTTAGTCAACCTCACTATTAAGGAAGTGTTGGATTCTTATCAGCAGACATCAGGAAATGTCAAATTTTAGGTCAAATTTAGATTCAGCCATTAACAGAAACACTGTTATGGTTATAATAAATACAACAACTCTGTATATAGTCACTGTGACACCTACAGTAATAGAGTATCTTATCATTGATTCTGTCCTGCAGTATTAATTAAATAATTAAAGATTAAAAGCAACTTGACACCAGCTAAATACTTGCCGACCTCTAGGGCCACGGTGCCAAAACATTTTTATACCACAGCACCTCTCCACACACGTTCAGCTGTCTCAGACTGTGCCGATGGCCAAAATGACTCAACTGTTAGATGCCAGAAAGTGTATTGTGTTACTATGACAACTGGCAACTGTGAGCTCTTGTGTCATCAGCTGAGGCAAATTAATTTATTTGAGTTTTTAATGCAGTGGTTCCGATGTTTGCTGCTTGAGTTTTTAGTTTTTGACACGTTCGAAAAGCGTATAAAAATGTAGTTTATGCAGATGCATCACCTTTTAATCTGGAGGAACGTTAGTGAATGCTCAATAAAAATGTAAATGAAAAATGTCTTGGCCTGTCCTCAAGGCACTCCACTGAGGGAACCACTGCATTAGCTGTTTAAATTCTCGCCTTCCTGTAGTGACGGGGTACTGACACACCCTGGAGTACACTTCTGCATCACTGCAACCAGTTTAAATAATTAAAGAAGATTTTCAGTTGGGTTTTTTTATTTAAAATACCTAGATTATATGTAAAGAAGCCTAAAACCTACTTGTACCCAGATTTCATGTCACAATGCAAAAACTGTTGTAGTCTATTTTCTGCTGCAAGAAGACACTGACCACTGCAATATATATTTAACTCTGTCCTCTTGAGACATGCGAAGCTCAGACAATTCCGCAATAGAAAATGAAAAAAAAAAAATGGTTGAAAACAGTGAGCTACTGATTACAACATGCAGCACAGTCTCACAAAATGAGTTAAAACAAGAAATACCAACTACACAGTGGTTGGAAGTCTTATTTTGTATATTTTAATTTTTTTTTACCAATTTTATATTAATCAGTTGTTTTGAAAAAACACAGCTAAAATGTTTACAATTTAAAAAACCACAATGATTTAGCCCAATATACAGTCTAAACAACTGTAACATGTCTGTAACCTGTATATACTGACCTATGTGTCCAGGCAGTGGAGAATGCGGCCGTGGCAGGGTCGGCGACGTACTAGTCAGGATGAGGCTTTTTCGGTTACTGGTTCTACAACTAGAACATATATTAGAACAAAGAGCATATCAATATTTGTCTTCATTATATTTAAGGCGATACCAGACAGATGACAACTGGCACACACACGCACACACAACAGAGTGATCCTCAAATTCTGAGTTAATGAACACAGCAACTCAAGTTAATGAATATACTGCATCTTTGTTTGTCTGTGTGCCTACTTGTCACCATGAGTAAATGTATAGCCTATTGTACAGTATGTGCGGATGTAAGTGTGTGTGTTTTTATCTTAAGTACAGTATGTCTTTGTGCGTGTGTGTGTGTGCATATGTGACAGGCCATAATACAGGACTTTATGGATGACCATCCACCCACAGGGGAGCGCAACAAAGCAACAAAGATTTTTAATTTCCTCAAGGTCCAGCCCCACGACGGCTGCTGCCAGGAAATATAAAAATATAATGGCAGGAGTGACGAGGCGATGGAGGGATAGAGGGACAGACAGAGAGGAAGAAAAGGACCAGTGAGGACAGGTACAGGCTGTAATGAAGAAGTGAAATCATTGAACCATAAAGGACTCACTCGCTGCTCCAGCTGCCACCGCTGGATGTGTCATCCCGCACGGAGATGCACAAGGGTTGTTGTCTTACATAACAGCTTGTAAAGTGGGAAGTGGAATTCTCAGGTGTTATTTTCATGTGTGGACTACTCACAGGGCTTTCGTGCTTCACCGCAGTGCCTGTCAATACAAGTTTGCTCCACGTTGCATCAGCCAGCACGCTGCTCTACATCTGTGCAGGAAGTGCAGTAAAGCATACAAGCGCACATAAAAATAAAAACACCCAGCACAGTCACAGAACACACACTGCTTATTTGATGTATCTTGCTCGATCTATAATCTATATCCCCATCTTGCAGTCCTCCCACATCCTCTCTACCTCCCTAACAATATCTCTCCCTCTGTTTGATGTAGCAGTTGTTTCTAGCACTATGAGACATCAAACCCCTGGCAGGATTTTATCGGTGGCAGTGAGCCTCTGTGAGCGCTAGTCGAGGGAGAGCTTGTACTCAACCTTGCAGAACAGAGGAGGATCATATTGAAATATTTAAGGGAAATGCATTAGCTTTGGACCGCGGGCTGGAGGCAACTTAACGCTGTCCATTTGATGCTGCACTCAGAAGATGAGAACAGACAAAAAGGGGGAAGGGTGAGGAAGGAGAGAGGGAAAGACAAAAAAGTGAAGAGACTGGAAGTGCATGTCGTATGTTCCTCTGATTCCTCTGTGTCATTCTTCTCTTTTCTTCAACCATATTATACTCTCCAACCTGCCCGCAATCGTCTTTTCCTTTCACTCACTCCTTAACCTGTAGTCTCTCTCAAATCCACATTCTCAGTGCTGCTCTTCCTCAATCAAAAGCTGAATCACTTGAGCATATAACAGTCAAGCTTCACTCCAGAACATATTCTTAGCTTTTGATTCATGATTCATCACATCCACAGCAGCTTGACTCTACCAGTGCATCATCAAATGTTTCAAACCACATATTACAGGTAAAGGGATTTAAAATCACCTGCCTCATTTCTGTCTTTTTTGATAACTCATCACTCGTCTGTTTCTCCTTCACTTCTTCAATTTTTCCCTCTATATCCTGCTTTATTCTCACTCTGCTTTCTCCTTTTATCGAAATTAACTCTGTCAGATGAATAATTATAATGTGGAAAGTGAAGAAAACTCATTGTTCTTCCCTTCTAACGCCCCTTTTTTAGGATTATTGAGCCAACTAAACTATTAAAGGCTGTAGAATGAGAACCCAGTAGGGCAAAGCAATTTAATCTCCCCATAATGCCAGAAATCTCTTGCAGCCACTATGCTTTATATCATTGTTATCTTAAATGAATGCTGCAGAAGGGCATCTTGCCCAAAGCATTTGTACTGTAAAAAAATAAAGGTTAAAGAGGAGTGCTGCTCTTTACTCTATACTCCAGCAGCCAGACACATATTTATCAGCAGTAAAGGTCACATTAGAGTCCTGCCACTTGTATTCATGCAAAGGCTATGAGGAGCACATACAACAGAACCAGCAGGGGCAGAGGAGAGCAGAAAGATCTGTCTGTGGATGCTCAAACACTGTTATATATCTCTTGTGTTCCAGAATATCCTGTTATTTTCAGATGATTTGTTCTCTCAACCTGCTGTTTTGATTTTCGACTTCAGTAAGTAATTTACAAAAGTTCTTACAAAAGAGTGACTTTGAGAAAAAAGACATGAACTTACATTTTAGACATGAGGTAATACTGAGAGTAGTAAAAAAAATGCCATTTACTCAGCAGTGCCTTAGGGCTTGCAAACTAGTCTATTGGAGTTAATATTGTTGGATAGATAATAAATGGATGATTGACAAGTTGTAGAAAAACCCAAACAATGCCATTTTAAACTTGAATGACTAATCTTTTTGGCCATTTGTGGGAAGCTGTAAACACAAACATCTTCTAAAGTTTATCACATGAAGTATGTTAATTGGAGTTGCCTATTTAAATGTCCACATTATGATTCTCTTGGAAACATGTCTGTGTCTCTCTAACGAATGGAAGTCCACCATTCACTCTCCTTTCAGCAAAGTTTTGGTCTCTGCCAGCTTCTGAGGGAAATAGCTGACTCTTTGACTGCTAAACTCTCTGTTATGCTCACCAGCTTGTCGCCAACTGTGTCTTGCCGCTGTGTGTATGTGGTATACTTACATTAACTCATTTATCTGATGCTTTTATCCAAAGCGACTTAAAATTGCTATATATGTCATAAGTTGCACACCTAGAGGTTAAGCATCTCGCTCAGGGACGCATAGGTGGATACATTGCAGTGGGAATCGAACCCAGGTCCCCCACATTAAAGGCATGTCTCATGTCTTATCCACTGCTCCAACGCCATCCAAGCTTCTAAACAGCGACTTTTTTTTTTTTACAGCTTTTAAGTGTTTCGCCATGCTTCCTTCTTTAACTTTTCAGAAAGGCAGGACAATGTATTTCAGGAGAAGCTCATATTAACCTGTCTTGTTCCCTTTCTTTCCCTGAAATCCTGGCCACATACAGTAATTAGCAGTCACAGTGGTAGCAGTCAGTGAAGGTTAGAGGACAGGAGCTATAGGAGGCTGTAGGGGATTATGACTAACATGCTGCAGATTCTCCTGACTGGGAAAGCAAAGAAGATAAGAGAGATGGGAATGTGTTGGTAGTGGAGGGCAAAATGTGTGTGTGTGTGTAAATATGACTTAAATCACTCTGTCACGGTTATGGTCTTGCAGCATGGGCTCATCCTGCCTCAATCTGGTAAAGAAGGTGTGTGTGTGTGTGTGTGTGTGTGTGTGTGTGTGTAACATAGGAACAGTTAGTATGCTGCACATTGCCATCTTTAAATCATACATCTAAAGCCCGTCTCTAGTTTTGTGGTCAAATACAAACACACACTCGGCCAAGCAATCCTGCACCATATCATCCACAGTCTCCTCTGTTTTCACACAGATGGTGATATTTGGATTCATTCAGTCATCTCCACTTAATGCATACATGAATTCTGAACAGAAGATTTACTGAAAACGAGACACTTAACTTTAAAATATTCAAACCCATTCAGATCCAATTAGGTTAATCAAAAACAAATTTTCTCTCTATCTACAATGAACTGACCGAGACAAAGAAAGATGAAGAGCAACTGGAGGGAAGAGGAATGTACAACGTTACCATAGCAACACATTTAGAGTCGCTGTAAGAAACAGTGACATCGACGACTGTTTTCTTTTTTTCTTTTCACCAGAGCACACATTGAGGAACAGATGACTTGTGCTTAACAGATAGAATAAGGAAGGTGAGCATCAGACTGACTCAGCTCTGATCAAAGGCCAGCAGATCCAAAAATTATGATCTCACCCTGCAGTGAACAATACTGCGTGAGTCAGTGTCTGTTGTCACGGTTGAGGCCAGAGAGTGTTTGTGTGTTTTTATTTGAATGCCAGTCGCATAATCCATCATAATCCATTGTGTAATCCATCGTGGAGGTTCAATCTGTGTGTGATGGAGGAGCAGTGGTAAGGCGCGTGGTGATGTCAGTCAGACTGAGTATGATTCATCGGGGTCAATGGTGCATGCAGCTATTGTGTGGAGCTCTGTAGACGGACACCAGAGCTGATGAGGAAAGCTGCGAGTGAGAAACAACTTTTAATATGAGAGAGAGAGAAGCAAAGTGCGTCTCTCTGGCCGAGTCTGTCAAAAGGTGCAAAGTAAATCAGTGTTTTTCTGTAGGCTATGTTTTGCACGATGTGGGAGGTTTTTGTATCTCAGTGGTCTCAAGAAACAACGCCAGAATGAAAAACAGTGGCAGGAGAGAAGAACAAGAGGAACAAGGGAGGGACAGAATGAAACAAACAATGCCGGCTGCTAGGGATGAAACGATTACCGGTTCAACGGTAAACCATGGTAAAATTCCCGACGGTTATTATTACCGTACACATTTTAATTACCATGATAACCGGGTACGGTTAACCGCGCTGTCATAATCTCATGGCAAACACTGTCCAGCGTCTAGTGATGTGCGGATCAATCCTAAAGTATCGATATTTCTGATACCAACGTTTCCTGCTCTAGGATCAATACTCATATAAAACTCAGTCATTTGGAGTGAGTGTGTGTTTTATTATAAGTATCTTACTGTCATCAGGATGGTCTAATTATACTCTGTTGATAGGAACTACTTTTCCTTCCGCCTGTCAAAGTCATGCTTGCACTACAGCTCTGTGACGGAGCTTGTTTGAAGTGAGCCGCTGCAGCCCTTTACATTTCCCCGATTGAACAGTCACAAAGACAGTGAAATACTTTGGCAACACCGCAATCTTCCCTAAACATCTGAGCTTAAGTCTTTCACAATAATAGGATGATGTTATGAAGCGGCAGTTCTGAGCAGGATATTTTTTATTATAATTAAATTATATGACAGTGGTTTGATGTCTTGTCATTATGCAGCTATTATTTTAAATTGGTAAGGCTA